AGCGCTCATAGTTTTATGCGCGCTTAGTCTACTTCAGATACTCTTTCAGCTTCAGAGTTTCGGGTTTAGAACGGGAGATTTTGAAATTTGACGTTGGGTCAACGGGAACCATTTTACTCGTGTCTATTGAACACTATGCTGTCAATTTTGATTTCGATGCACAGTTGAATCCTTGCTGAACACGATGATGTATGTCATGCATGATTTAGCGCCAAAAATCTTACGAAACGAGCTCGTTTAAAATATGTATTAGAAAACAAGCTATAAAACCGCATCAATGACATACTAGAATCATTACACGCTATGGTGTAGTCTAAACAAACACTGGATTTGAACGGCTATTTATATGAGAAGGCTACATGAATTTGTATATGGTCAAGTGATACGTACAGGTTCAGTTTCGATTATATATGCAAAGCTTAACCTCTCCAGTGTATCACCCAACTGTAAACACTTTGTTTGGATTTAATCACATATTTAAAAACATATAATTGTGTTTTTACAAATACCAATAAAACAATATTGTCTATGTATTAGTGAATGACGATTTATCTATGCTTCAACTAGATAATTATATACGACCTTAAAACTATATACGAACCATTGAGATAATGTGAAATATGTGTTCAAAAAAATCAGGATGGTAAAATTGAGATATAGGCCATAGGCTAAGAATGAGTATCCTTCCAGTATCCTCGGTTATATGAGTTGACATTATCCTTGTATCAACGTGAGCGTTCCTGATAGTGATAATTCTACCATATTCGGCAGATTCCGACAAAACTACCTCAAGTGATACTCACTTGAACTAAAAAGTGTCCAAGTTACATAAATAACAGCACGCAGTGTGCTGCCTAGAATAAAAATTAGCAAAGATTTACTGAATTAATGCAGCCATATGGTCTTAGTAAATGTGAGTAAATGATGAACTTAATCAATCATATTAAGAAAATATTTTAGTAGCATTATATAGAGACATAATTCACACCAAATTATAAAAGTTTGTTAACTGTCACAAATGTATTATTGCGCCTATTTTGATGTATGTTTTACAGTAATCTATTCAAAATTAAAATTATAAATTGACCTTAATCAGTGTCAAAGTGTAGTACTCTAAATGGGTGAAATAAATAGTCCATGAGCTGATTTTTCTGACAGCTCTTGATAAGGAATTTGTTGTCCCAGTGTCTACCACAAAAAACAACTACTGCATAGTGTTCCTACATACATATGCTCAACACCAGGTTTTGCTGGAACAGAAACAGGCGCTTTCACGTAAAAAATGAGGATTTGAGCAAGGATGTATTGATTTACTTAAACCAGTCATGCTAAAACTTGGCACATAAGTCCAAAATTGAATAACCTTGACTACCATCTACAGATTATGGGGCCACATGATCTAGGATTGGCTGTGGATGGGGGGACAGTCATTATGAAACACCCTGTAGTTATCTGCTGCCTGGAAGGTGGTTTTGCAAATGTTATCAAAATGCATTTATATGACCATAATAATGTATCGCCCAATGGTAAACACTTTGTTTGGATTTAATCACATATTTAAAAACATATAATTGTGTTTTTACACCTACCAATAAAACGCTTTTGTCTATAGCGAGTGACGATTAATCTATGCTTCATCTAGATAATTAAATATGACCTTAAAATTAAATAAACCGTTGAGATAATATGAAAATGTAAATTGCATCATGTAGCCCTATACCAAACCTTGTAAAATATGTATTCAAAATAATCTGGATGGTAAAATTGAGATATAGGCTCATTGCAGAGTACCCTTCGGTTATATGAGTTAACATTAAACACGTTTCAAAATGAGATAGCAATCTTGACAGTGATGATTCTAACACTCTAATTCGTACAAAACTGCCTGAAGTTAGTTCTACTATTAGCATTAAAGATGTTCACTCAGACTAAAAAGTGTCCAAGTTACATAAATGACAGCACTCCATATGCTGACTATGTACAAAATTTTCAATCGCATTGGACAATTGCAGCTATATGTTCTGAGTAAATGCGAGTAAATGATGAACTTAATCAATCATATTAAGAAAATATTTTTGTAGCATTATAAAGAGACATAATTCAAACCTGATTATTAAAGTTTGTTAATTATAACAAATGTATTATTGCGCCTATTTTGATGTATGTTTTACAGTAATTTATTTGAAATTAAAATTATAAATTGACTTTAAACAGTGTCAAAATGTAGTACTCTAAATGGGTGAAATACTAGTCCATGAGCTGATTTTTCTGAGAGCTCTTATTAAGGAATTTGTTGTCCTTGGTGTCTACCACAAATAACACCTACTGCATAGTGTTCCTACATACATATGCTCAACACAAGGTTTTGTTATATTTTCCAGAAACAGTCGCTTTCACGTAAAAAAAATGAGGATTTGAGCAAGGATGTTTTGATTTACGATAAGATAAGGAGTTGGTTGTCTTGGTAGCTGGAACAGAAAACAACTCCTGCATGTGAACTTAAAATAAATCACCTTAACTTTTTGACTACCCAGAATGATGAGACTTCTAAAAACCTAAGAAATGACCTTGAACTTGGGTGACAAGATAATCTGTAGTAAATTTTTCACTAAAATTTCAATGAAATAAAAAGTTTATCTTGATTTAAATCTATTTTGGAGGATTTTGTTTTAATTTTTTGAATACTTTTTTAATATCAACCAAAAATTTCTTTGTATAACTATATGCTATTTTGTTCCAACAAGGTTCGGAAAGACATTTTATTTCATTCTCAAGAATTGGTAGAAAGGCGCAAAAACAATTGCACTAAAAAAACAATAATGTTAACAAATATAGTTATATAAAATATTTTAAAATAATTTTCGCATTAAATTGTTGTCAATCAGTCAACATTGCATAAAATTCTGTGTTTCTTTACAGAATTTTTTCAATGATTGGTTTAAGAGAAAAACATTGTTGAATTCAGTTATCCATATCAATACCATTCCTTAAGCATCACTTTCCGACATATTGTAATTGAGGAAAATAATTGAGAAAATTTGGAGGTATTGGTAATAAAGTCAATTTGCCCTTCCGAAATAAATTTCGAAAGTAGTTAATTATCTGCTGCCTGGAAAGTGGTTTTGCAAATCTTATCAAAATGCGTTTATATGACCATCATAATGTATTGCCCAATGGTAAACACTTTGTTCGGATTTAATCACATATTTAAAAACATATAATTGTGTTTTTACACCTACCAATAAAACGCTTTTGTCCATAGCGAGTGATGATTAATCTATGCTTCATCTAGATAATTAAATATGACCTTAAAATTAAATAAACTGTTGAGATAATATGAAAATGTAAATTGCATCGTGAAGCCCTATAGCAGACCTCCCAAAATATGTATTCAAAATAATCTGGATGGTAAAATTGAGATATAGGCTAAGAATGAGTATCCTTCGGTTACATGAGTTTACATTAAACAAGTTTCAAAATGAGAAAGCAATCTTGACAGAGATGATTCTTTCGAAACTGCCTCGAGTTTGTTCTACTATTACAATTAAAGATGTTCACTCAGACTAAAAAGTGTCCAAGTTACATAAATAACAGCACGCAGTGTGCTGCGTAAGAATTAAGTTTAGTCAGTTGATTTAAACCAAATCAATGCAGCTATATGTTCTGAGTAACTGTGAGTAAATGATGAACTTCATCAATCATAATAAGAAAATATTTTTGTAGCATTATATAGAGAAATAATTCACACCTTATTATAAAAGTTTGTTAACTGTAACAAATGTATTATTGCACCTATTTTGATGTATGTTTTACAGTAATCTATTTCAAATTAAAATTATGAGTTGACCTTAAACAGTGTCAAAGTGCAGTACTCTAAATGGGTGAAATAAATACTAGTCCATGAGCTGATTTTTTTTGTTTTTGTCCAGGTCATAGTGTTCATATGTATTTAAATATTATTAGCATGATTATTGACTATTTTTATTAATTTTGTGCAGTGATTCAACCGTTTTCTAAAATTCAATACATAGCTTAGAAATTACTACCATTTTTCAGCATGGTCTAATGGATAAGGCACTGAACTTCTGTACCAGCTTTTGGCAGTTTGAATCCCTGTCGTGCCCTAGATTTTTTTTCTTTCATATTAATCTCTTTGCTACAATATTTTATATAAATCTCTATTCATACAACAACTAGTTACATTTGTATATCTATTAATTTTGGGGTTTTAGATTATAGATACATCGTTTGTGTGTTACTTTAAGATATATTGACGACTACTTATTGAAACACTTGTTGAAACACAAGTCAATGTAACTTTCTCTCAAAATGGATTTTATGAGACAGTATCTATTTATTTTCACCCCAGGCTACAAGGGATCATGTCAAAATACCACAGCTGAAGTAACTTTGTATGGTTAGGGGATGGAGTCATAAATTATGATTCATGAAATGATGAGTCAGTGAGGGTAAAATACTTATTTCTGATCTAATAATTTAAAATTTTTAACATTTGTTATAGTAGTAGCTAAGGGGTTAAATGATGAATAGCAATATTTATTAACAACTATTGACATTTTGACAGCACCCCTTAAGAAACGTACATTTAATTCAATATGAAGTTGACACAAATTAATGATAACCTATCTTAAAGGCCTTGTGCAAACATTTATTGCTATGTATGAATATTTCCAGATTGTTATTTCATAGAAAAAAAAACAATTACGAATTTTTGGACAAAAATATCTTCAAAACCAACTTTTGCACAACTAACATAAAATCAAATCTCTACAACATTAATTAAAACTATAATTTGAGTTAAAGTGGTTTAAACTTTACATGGTGCCTTTAAGAAAATAAAACAACAGAAAACTGAACTTGGAACACTTTAATTCACAAATCATTAAGAACTGCTACCGAAAATTATGTTTTAACAAAAATAATTTTTAATATGGGGAAAGATACTTTAAAAAGAGGAAATATGTATTTCTAGACATATAAATAGATGTTATAATCTGAAATATTGAATGTTTAATATTCTGAGAGGCAAGCAAATCAGCAGAAGGACCAATGCTTAGATTCAATAGTGAGGAGAGACAAGATTTAGAAAAATCCATAGTCAGGAGGACAAATACTCAAGAGGACAAAAAGTAAGGAGGACAAATAGTCTAGAGAACCAATAGTCAGGAGGACAAATAGTCTAGAGAACCAATAGTCAGGAGGACAATTAGTCTAGAGAACCAATAGTAATGAGGACAAATAGTCTAGAGAACCAATAGTAAGGAGGACAACACCAATAGTAAGGAGGACAAATAGTCTAGAGAACCAATAGTCATGAGGACAAATACTGTTGTCTAGAAGACAAATAGTTTAAAGGACCAATAGTAAGGAGGACCAAAACTACCCCTAGCCCTCAATGATAGCTGAATAAAATAAAAATCAAATATAAAAGATGATGAATAGACAACAATGTAGGTTATATACAGGACTTATATTTTTTCTCATTATTCAAGGAATATTTCTATTACTGACAAATATTACTCATATGCCAGAAAATATGTACTTTGGTCAACTTGACCATCAAAAACTTATTAATTATCTGAATTTAAACTACAATTTCTCGAAAATCTCAACCACAAAGGAAAATGATGAATCTGTCATAAATGTTGAGCAAGAAAAAATGGGTGTTTTTAATAAAGAAAGCACTGATAATCTTAGAATGACAGATGATAATGAAAGAATGACAGATGAGAATATAAGGATTACAGATAATAACCAACCAATTTCAGATGCAATGGCCAGGATCAATGAAGAAAGTACTTCAGGTTCGCAAAGTATCAAACAAAATACAATAAGACATCTTTCAAAACCAAATTCAACCCAAAATAGCACCAAAGAAACAAAACAACATAAAAATAGCTCAAAGCGAGAAAATTCAACGAAAGAAAGCACAAAAAAACTTTTAACAATTTTCACAACATTTAGTGATGCCCCTGAGCGAGAGAGTGTGCAAAGCAATACCTTGTGTAACTATTTAAACTTCCCAGAAAATCAGGTCAATCTTGTAATTTTCTCTTCAAATATAACTCTAACGAGGTAAGTATAATGAATTGGAAAACATCTTTGACGTTCAACAATCAGTTTTCAGTTAGCAAATGTACCAAATATGCATGAATTTATTTTGTATAAAATAATAAGCGAAAGCAAATCATCAGCCTTTGGTGTCTTGGTAATATTCAGTGCAATTACATGCAGTGATCTCTCCAGCATTAAAGCAAGTGGGCGCAGCACCCACCTGAGATTTTGAAAACCGCCTTGCACCCACTTGAAAATCCATTTGCACCCACTTTAAAATGAGAAAAATCATGAATAATTGGTATATTTTGACCAATTTTGGTCTGAATTGTGAAAATGAGAATTTTGCACCCACCTTAGAAAAAATCTTGGGGAGATCACTGACATGTACAGTAAAACTTTTATTTACCAAATGGCACAGGGATTGACGTCTTCAGATTGAAAGGTGTTCTCATTTTAGAATTCTATGGCAGATTAAACGTGCAAAATATCACTACCTGCCATTTGTTACAGATGCCGACTGCAACAAAAAAGTTTGAGACTATAACATCATTTCTGTTGGTGACATGAGAATGAGACCCAGTGATCTCCCCAAGATTTTAACCCAGGTGGGTGCAAAATTCTCATTTTCACAATTTAGACCTAAATTGGTCAAAAAATGCAAATTTTTCATGTTTTTTTCAGTGGGTGCTGCGTCACTTGCTTTAATGCTGGGGAGATCACTGAGATATTTTCAAGTTTATGGAGTGTCTTCAATACACAGATTTGACTGAACCAGTACATGTATAAATTTCATTTCTAGGTTACAGCTCAAAGTGGAAACAAAATGTTTAACAAGGTTCCCATATGTTGAAATCGCAGATAGATGGCATGTCATTCAGCTTAATAACGACAGTATGCTCTACGAGAGACCTATCCTCAAAGATATGTACCGTGAAATAATGCAGCGATATGATAGCAAGTTTTACATGTATACCAATGGTAATTTTATTCATTTTGAGTATTAATAGTAAAACCTGTAAAGTGAAACACCCATAGGCAATGGGGGTTGCTTATGCCACCAACATGCCCCCTTGACTGAAAGCTGGCTATGCCCCTGACACCTATATGTGAGTCAAACACTGTCAAATCACTAAATTCCAAATGACCATGATTTTTGTATAAACTTAAAACAATTTTCGGCACAACTTGAATATGTTTGGTGGATTTATTTTACCTGATCTCTTTCACTTTAATTCGATTGATTGATGGATTTGTTTCAATATTGTATTTGATTTTTATTCATAGGTGACATTCTCTACCCCTGGAGACATCTCAGAGACAGCCTTGATGTGATCTTTCACTATACTCAGCTTAATGGCTTACGACGATACATAATCTTTGGTCTTAGAAAAGAAATAGGATTCTACAATTTCAATTTCAATCAATCCTTAAAGATGATTAATCTACATGATTTAGAGACGGGATCCGATGAGGAAATCTTAAAATTAGTCGAAGGAGTAAATGTAACACGAAAACGTGCGATGGACTACTTCATCACCTCTAGAGTGAGCTTTCCCTGGGAATGGATCCCAAAGTTTATCATAGGAGTCGAAAAATATGACAACTGGCTCCTCGTTTACGCTAATAAAGTTAAAATCACGACATTTGATATATCAAACACAAATCCAGTTATACACCAAGCAGGTGCTCCCAAAGCCATTAACGATGCAGTGTATCACCAAGCAAATGCATATAATCATAAATTATTTGAAAATTCGCTGATTTATCCAACGAATCACATTTGCGTACACAATTGTTGTCGCATGAGGACTGAGATGGTTAATCACAAACAATACTAAGTTTGAAGAAAATAGATGTACATATCCTAGAGTGATCAAGATACCTGTTATCTCAAAATTTTAATATAGTTATTAGGCCAGGAAAATCATCCTTCAAGATCGGTCCTTCACTGCTTTCATAGCAGATCATAATGTAATACGAGGGGTGATCAATAAGTAATGGACGCTTTTTTACACAGATACCTTTTATTGACCAATCCCTTTGATTTTCCTACCAGTGATACATCATTCAATTATCTAACAATTCTGAAGGTTTGAAGACAAAATATATGATACATGTTGATATATCCTCATTTCCATGAAGGAGGTACAGGTACCCCGGGACCGACATTTACGTCACATATTCCGTTTTTAGCCAGTTTGGTAAATTTGAGTTAGATTTGAACTTTTTATATGCAACAAGTGTTGTATTGTTTGAATTTTTTTGCTGACTGGTAACACATAAACAGAAAGTATTGTAAAATCAGAGTGTTGTATGGAAAGGGTTTGCAGGTCAATTTGAGAAAGCATTGTGGAAAAAGGGGTGGTGAGTGAAGGGAAAACCCTACTCCATATGGACAATGCACCTGCCCACAGATCTCAAATTGTTCAGAAAACAATATCCCTGGACCTCAAAATTGAGCCCTTGGCCAATGCACTATATTGTCCACATCTGCTCACATGTGACTTGTTTATTTCTATACAACTTATTTCTATGGAGAAAGGACGCAGGTTTATTAACAGTGATTAAATAAAACAACCCGTGCAACTGCATCTTGCTACCATGTCAGAGAATGGATTCAGCCTTGTCTCACAATCTTGAGTTAAGAGGATGAGGAATTGTGTACATGTAGCACTTGATGGAACCTATTTAGAGGGCCCTGTGGAAGGAATGTGGCATGAATACCACAAAGTGATGATAAAATATTCAAAATCAACTATGGCATAACAAAACGGGGTAATTCATGACCATAATGGTTTGTTTTATTCAGCCTGCATTCAACTGTATTGCATGTTAAACAAGCTAAAATAGCTTCAGAATATGTGACGTAAATGTCGGTCCCAGGGTACCTGTACCTCCTTCACGGAAATGAGGATATATCAAAATGTATTACATATTTTGTCTTCAAATCTTCAGAGTTGATAGATAATTGAATGATGTATCACTGGTAAGAAAATCGAAGGGATTGGTCTATAAAAAGCATCTGTGTAAAAAAGCGTCCATTACTTATTGATCACCCCTCGTACAATGAATTACTCTTGGGCCAAGGATGAGGAAAATTATTATTGGTCGTTTTTAAATTCTTTATGTATTTAAAAATGTGTGACTAAGAATGAATGTTCATCTAAATTTCTGAACACCTCTCTAATCTGAACACCTTTCAATATGAACACCTTTTTGGTTCAATCATTTTCAGATGCAATAGGCTTGTTGAACACCTGTATGAACAAAATATGAACACCTGTAAATGTGAACACTTTTGGTCAATCCACAAGGTGTTCTGGGAGACACGTTTCACTGTATACAAGTATCTATAATTTTCAAACACATAGTATCATCCTCCTAAGCAGGTGTCCAGAATCCGTACCTCCTTCTTCCCCCTGCCATAACCAATTTGGAAGCGCCCGATAAAACTGAATCACATGATCTAATTATGCGCCGATGATATATACATTATTGCTGTCGCAGTGTTGCGGCAGCGAATCAAATTGGGAGTTCTTAATCGGGGAAATACTACCTGCTTATCGCAGGGGATAAAAAGAAAAAGGTATTCTGGATTTTGAAGCCCTGTGATCGGAGGATGAAAAAATATAAAATCAATTAAATTTTACTTACTGTTTACTGCTTTCATTACGACGTGTATAATAATTCCGATTATGCAGACAACCAGCCCTAAACCATTTAGGAATTTGATCTGGTCATGGTTGAATTCAAAGGCAATAAATAATGTGCAGATTTCCTGAAAAATATATATAAATATATCTTTTATTGTCCTGCTGGTGTCATTACAATGATATATATACAAGGCATAAACATGAAAAAAGTCACCACCCGCCATTTGTTATTATTAAGAATATTTTATTTTTCTATGTTTTCCTTACATTATTTTATATATAATGGTACAGTAATAACATGCCATTCCAAACACCAAACACTTTCCACAAAAATGTTGGAGATTACAACAATATGTCACCTCTTCTTGTGATTAAGTCAGGATAAGATATTATGAATTATGGCACATTCGAACATGACTGTAATCACGCCTTCTATAAACTGAAACAAAGTCAATGTCTTATCCGGGGCATATTCGAGATCAATGCCCTGGCTCTCTACTAAGTGGTTCGTTCAGTGCAAAAGCTCAACCGGAAGTAAAAATGAAAAAAGTGGATATGAACATCGAAATTGACGATTTTGCAATAATCTGGTGAGTTTCCATGTTCGAATCGTAATATAGACATCAGAGCAGGGCTACTATTTTCGAATACACCCCTTAGGGCTAAGCACAAAAAGTTTCGAACAGTAAACATTTGTGCCAAGCCCTGTGGGGTGTATTCTAAAAATGTAGCCCTGCTCTTCGGTCTATATTTCTTAAATATTTGACCAAATATTTTATTCTGTCCCTTGTTAAAGGGTGACGATAAGCTTCCCGTATAAAAACAACATGGCGTCTTCGGGCGAGTCAACTGGATCAGTCTATTTTGAAGAAATAGGGGGAGTTTTGTAAATTCCAGTTTATTGAAATTGTCTTGGAGATAAAGTAATCTGTTTATAATGATTCTGAAAACATTATTGAGTGAGTGATTGTTCAAAGAATGCATGTACAACAGCCAATATAAATGCTTGTATTAGAACTGCTCTGTCTCATTTGGAGGATATTTCATATGCCAAGCTATTAAGTTATGGGGAAATTTAAATGTCAATTTTTCCTTATTATACACAAATAGAAGATCCTGAAAATTCACCCATAAATATGAAATTGATTTGTCAAAATAAAAATCTCCATTTTATAATTGTGTGATGATCTTTAACATACTTATGCTAAGAGGTGTTGACACAATGACCTTGAGCCTGTGAACGCTTGAGTATTATTCCGGGATTGGGCATTTTATATTAAACTGTGAGCAACACCAGAAACAAACGATATGCCTCACCCTTTGAAGACCAAAATCGTGTAGGAATGGCAAGAATAAAATCTGAGGTCATATAATTGCAATAAATCAAAGAATCCAGGTCATTGTTTTGATTCTAATGTGATAAACAAACCAAAAAACAACTTTTTTGACAGCCGAATAAATTTACTTACCTTGAAAATTCCTGATATAGAAAGAGTAAGACTAGATGTACGTGAGACTAGTAGAAACTCGCTGAATTCGAGAAAGAATGCAAGTGAAGCTCCTAGAACGACTAGGCCTAAGTTTGTGAGGAGGACTTTTGTGTCATGAAATCTGAAGAAGTTCTCTGTTGTTGCCAGGGGAACAGCTGTAAATAAACAAACCATGAATATAACATAGAATCAGTGCCATCTATATGAGTCCTTATCTAATTATAACAAAAATGCAAAAAAAGGTTTTAAAAAAACTTCATTCACAGAAACATTTGTATTAGGCTATGAAAAATTTGAAATATGACATAGTAGAATTTTTTCAAGATAACAAACATTTCTAAAACAACATTTTTGAACATTATTCTGTCTGTGGAGTTAATGTTATACCATGGAGGTCGTAGCTTACAAAAATCAAGAGAACTATCCAGCATAAAATATAGGTACAAGCAGTATGATGTAGATTTTCTATATCGATTTGGTAAAGCTACGCCCCCTGTAGCCCCCCCCCCCATAGAGAATGTAACTAATATGAGGCTTTAATACCTTCAAATGCCACAGCAAGTGGCAGTAGTCCTACAATCATCCATGGTTGTACATGGTACATCAGATCTAAAGGATGGGATAAACCTGAAAAATAAAAACACAATATATACAGGGTGTCTAGCTAAAACATGAACACAGAATATATACAGAGTGTCCACCTAAAAAATAAACATAGAATATCATAGGGTGTCCATCTTACAATCAAGCATTGAATATATACAGGGTTTCTACCTAAGGAATAAACACAGGATATATAAAGGGTTTCTACCCCAGACATCAACACAGAATATATACAGGGTGTCTACCTAAAAAATAAACACAGGATATATACAGGGTTTCTACCTAAGGAATAAACACAGGATATATACAGGGTTTCTACCCCAGACATCAACACAGAATATATACAGGGTGTCTACCTAAAAAATAAACACAGGATATATACAGGGTTTCCGACTTACAAAAAAGTTGGAATAGAATATATACAGGGTGTATACAGGGTATCCATCTTAGAAACAATCATGGTATATATACAGGGTATCCATCTTAGAAACAACCATGGTATATATACAGGGTATCCATCTTAGAAACAACCATGGTATATATACAGGGTATCCATCTTAGAAACAACCATGGTATATATACAGGGTATCCATCTTAGAAACAGTCAAATTACCAATGTAATGACAAATAACTAAAATATGAAAATATTTAATGTTTTCAGTTTGGTTCATATCTATGCATATACAGTAGAACCTGCTAAGTGGAACACCTCCTAAGTGGAACGCTTTTTGGCAGAACGGAGGGTGTTCCACTTACACAGGTTCTACTGTATGAATAGAGTATATGAAGCTCTCTTTTAAGGAAGTGTACATACCTATCTCCTTTTTCTGCGTAACAATCTGAGCAAGATTCCAGCGAAGACCACTAAGAGCGGACGCTGTCAAACACAGTATGAACCCCTCAAGGTTAAATTGTGTCGAATGGAATGTGAACATGAAGAGACCGCCAGCGATAAATAGCACCACAAATATTAAGCCAACCCTCTGGAAAAAATGAATAAGTATTCTCATTAGGGGAGGCATCAAAAGTTTGATGTCGGATAGAAAACTAAATAAATCTAGTTAGGGGGAGGGGGTTTAAACCCATTTTAGTTTGCTAATCGACAAATTTCAACATTTCAAATTTTTGGCAATTTTGACTCAGAATGCCTTGGAATGGTTTAAAAATAAAGATTACCTGATGCTTTCTTCATCAAGATCATTCAAATGGATTCTATTCTATCAATAGTTGTTAAAAGCAGCAAATTACGATAGAAATTAACAAAAAAAACTAGATCGTGTTTAGCAATAATTTTTCAAATTCTCGAACCGGAAGTCAGCGATCAACTTTCATGGTATTTAGTTTTTTTTTGGGGGGGGTCAGAGTCAAAACTAGATTTATTTAGTTTCTAATCAAACATCGGACTTTTGATGCCTCCCCTTATACAGTTGAACATGTGCATGGTGAATGCACTTGACGCCACAAAAAGTGTGAAAATGATAGCATTACAATTAGGCCGAATCTCTAAAAAATTGCAGTGAATACATATTATCATTATACAATTGAACACTAATCTATACAATGTGCTAATTGATTGACTACAGCGCTTATTTATCATTTGCACAAAGAGCCAGATAGGTTATCCAAACAATTTGAGACCTACCTTCCATCAACGTTTCATAATCCAAGATATAACTATCTGAAATTGTTTGGGATACCTCTAGAACCCAAGCAACCTTTTCTAGAGACTGCAAATTCGTTGATTGGGCTAACTTTTATTTATTTAAAAAAAATTATTTGCACAAAGAGCCATGTAGATTGTAGATTATCACAAACAATTTAAGATGATCATTTTTGGATTATGAATATTTTTTAACTTTGTTCAACTTACCATTTTTTCTAATTTCATAATAATTGCAAAAAATAGTAAGAATAGTATGGCTACTGATTTTGTCATGGTATACCTGAAAGTAAACAAGACAAATATTATTTATTAAAATTTAATAAAATATATTAAAATAATTATAAAATAAAAATAAAAAATATATTAAATACTGTAATGCAATCTCTTATTTTCTGATTCACTTTTGTTCTTAAAAATATTGTAAAAATCATTTGAGATTAGCTAATTAACTCCTCCCTCCCTTGGATGTAATAAGACACACTTTTTTAAATTAAATGTTTGATATAGCCTAACAAAACATAGTATAATTTATTGTAATCTCCCCAAATATGATAAATGTTTGTAAAAACTATACAGCAAAACCTGTCTAATCTGAACACCATTTAAAACTGTCCAAAAGTGTTCAGAATATATACAAGGTCCACATTTCAAAGTTTCTTAACAAGAGACATTAAAAAAAATGCAGACAGGAGAGAAAGTGTTCATATTAACAGATTAAGAGGAGTTCGGATTACAGAGGTATTCATAATTACACAGAAGTGTTCATATATACAAGTTTTATTCTCAATATACTGGCATTGTCTTAAAAATGCATAAAGTGACTTACAATGACACAGTTATAAATTCAAAGCTCCAATTGGACAGTCCTATATCTACAGATGCTGTGAGACCTAAAAACAATAAAACAGTTATACAGGGTGTCCATGAAGTCTCTTTACACAGACTAATTTTACTTGTAAAGATACTTTATTGACACCCAATATATCGCACAATGAACAATGTAAAATATTTATAGAATTCAGCAAAAATGTGTGATTGGTTGAAATAAGTTTTTCAAGAGCTACAGCTTCACCAAGAACCTTTTTTTATTTTTATCATATCTTCAAATTATCTAAATGTAGTTTAAGATCTGCTTCATTTAGTTAAGGTACAAACATTGAAGGAAGTTAAGCTTACATGTAAACATTTCGAAACATTTCGAATCGCGAAGAGAACTTATATGTAAACATGTAAAATCATGCTTCCAGGGATGACTGCCCCTTCAATAGTTTTTTCCAAGGACCTTATAACAAATATGTTTTTACTCAATCAGACCTACATGTAGCAATAGATATGAATGAAAGATTATACTTCTGTAACGACCCCAGATGCTGGAGTGTAATAAATTCATTTTGCAGGAATCGAACACAGGACCTTCTTCTCCCTTTAAGTCTAATGCTCTAGTTCTCTTTAAAATGTGTGTCTAAACCTCCCTATTAATTCTTGCACTTTACCTGTTGGGGCCAGCTTTTTTATATACATAGGCCAAGGTAGCATAATTCTTGGTTCACCCTTCCTCCACTCTAATAAAGAACGTATCACAGCTGCCAGGATGAACTTAATGACAAAGTGGGCCATGGTAAGGGACATGGGGTAGCTAAATTTCTAAAAATATAATATGTGCATGTTTATTATACACAAACTACCCTGGCCCCTGGGGTCCGTTTTTGGTACAATTTTACTCTTAAATAAGGCATTAACATGCAAAATGTCACCACCTGTCATTTGTTACTGACTCCTGTTTCCGGTTCAATATTATCATTATGCCTTGCTTATAAAGTGTAAGTTCTGCCAGCTAAAAAATGGAACTCGGAGTCTCAATTGGTAAACATAGGGTTTTCTCAACAGGATGCTAAATATTTTATCGTTTTGAAAGGTTGCAAATATGTTTTCCATAAGGGGGTTTGTAATTTGTATCATTTAATCATTTTAATAATTCTACAGAAAATCGCTTACCTTAATAAACCTCTGATTATAGAAGGTCAGCCCTATAGAGAAGACATAATAGAAAAGAATGAGACCGATTGTTTGCAAGGCCAAGAGCAGAAACCCACAAGAACACAAGGACTGCTTTACAAGTTTAGCTTTTGGTTGAAGGATCCCTTCTACTTTGTACAAGGCTTCCCGCGCCTGCTTCTTGGGCCCAGTCATATGGCCTGTCATGTTTTTTACTGCTGGAGATCCCTCAATTCTGCAACATAAAGAATAAATAAGGGTTATGTACTGGGAGGTTTTGTATATAGGGTATATCCTGAGGGATATATTTATATCTCCCAAGAGGACTGAAGGGACCAAGGGATATAATACCATCCAAAACCGACCGTACATGACTGGTGTATCTCATACTTGAGTGGGTTTTCAGTAGATGATTGAAAATCCTCAACATTGATTTGGTTTTTGGATCTTAGGTTGGTAGCTCCTTTTCATCACTCAAATAAGTGTCATTTCCATTTTACATGAACAGGTACAGTAACTAATGATTGGACAAATATTTGGATCAAGGAGCTGAAAATCGACTATATGTACAGGTATATGTACAATTGGGTGAGGTTACTGTCATATAAGATGTTTGTGACATGGGAGTTCTCTGGCAACAGATGATACTGTATTGTACAGAGCAGTATAGTATGAGCATGTCTCTACAATAATATGGACATGATGATTGCGTAATGACACAAGATACCTCAGGGGAGTTTTAGTGTAAAAAGTCAGATACAGGCTGTCCAACTGTCCCGCAATTTGCGTATTTGTCATGCATTTTCTTGAAAATTTGAAGTCATGCCAGTTTTTTTTATGCAGGGCCGTCAGATGGGGGGGTGCGATGGGTGCGACCGCACCCCCCTTTGTCACCCCACAAAAAAAATTTGAAAAAAATGTTTTTTTTTGAAAAATATTTTTTTTGTAATTTTTTTTCATTGACTCATACACTTTGAAAGTACCCAGAAAGCACCAAATAGCATCTTAAAATTGAAAAATTTTCTAGGGGTATTGGCCACCCCTCACACCCCTACAAAACAATGGAAAGTTCTTTTATTTTAGTGTTTTGTCTCAGACACTTTTAAAGTGCCCAGACATCATCAAATAGCTCCTTGATATAGTTAGTGTTTCTGGGGGACTTGCTCCCCCTCTTGCATCTTGCACTTGCCCCCCCCCCACTCTGGCGCCCCCCCCCCCTCTGGCGCCCCCCCCCCTTGACCCCCCCCCCAGAAAAAAATTGTGATTTTCTCAAATTCTTTAATTGACTCATACACTTTGAAAGTGCCCAGAAAGCACCAAAAAGTGTCGTAAAATTGTAAAATTTTCTAGGGGGAGTGGGCCACCCCTCACACCCCAAACAAAACATTGGAAAGATCTAAATTTATTTTAGTGTTTTGTCTCAGACACTTTTAAATTGCCCAGACATCATCAAATAGCTCGATCCTTGATAAAGTTAATGATTCTGGAAGACTAACACTTACTCGTCCTCTGGCATCCCCACTCCACCTCCCCCTCTGGCAGCCCCCCCCCCCCTTAACACCCCAAAAAGTGCCCAGAAAGCACCAAATAGCATCTTAAAATTGTAAAATTTTCTTGGGAAATAGGCACTTTTAGGCACAGACACTTTTAAAGTGCCCAAACTTCATCGATTAGCACCTTGATATTGTAAATTTTGATATGGGGGACAAACACTTGCTCCCCCTCTGGCACCCCAGCCCCACCTCCCCCTCTGGCACCCCTCCCCCCTTTGACACCTCCAAAATTTGAAAAAAATTGTGATTGTTTTTCAATGTTTTTATTGACTAATACACTTTAAAAGTGCCCAGAAGCACCAAATACCATCTTTAAATTGTAAAATTTTCTAGGAGAGTTAGCCACCCCTCACATCCCCCACAAAACAAAAGAAAATATTCTGAATTTCATGTATTGTCTTAGACATTTTTTAAGTGCCCAGACATCATCAAATAGCACCTTGATATGGTCAATGTTTCTGGGGGACAACCCCTTGCGCCCCATACTGGCACCCCACCCCACTTCACCCTCTCATTCTCTTTGACACCCCTAAAAGAATTTGAAAAAAAAATTCACATTTTTCTTATTGACTCATATCGCACAGGCGTACCAGATGGTTGCAAATTCGCTCCAAATACAACCAAATTTCAAAATTTTCCTGGGGGGAGAACCCCCAGACCCCCTAGGCCCTGAATGCTCAGTTTTTTATTCACTCAACTCTTATTCCCGTGGTGGTGGCGTACTACTTAGAAACTTACACATTGAAAGTGCCCAGAAAGCACCAAATAGCATCTCAAAACTGTAAAATTTTCTAGGGGGAGTGGGCTACCCCTCAAACCCCAAACAAAACAATGGAAATTTCTAAATTTATTTTAGTGTTTTGTCTCAGACACTTTTAAATTGCCCAGACATCATCAAATAGCTCGATCCTTGATAAAGTTAATGATTCTGGAAGACTAACACTTACTCGTCCTCTGGCATCCCCACTCCACCTCCCCCTCTGGCAGCCCCCCCCCCCCTTAACACCCCAAAAAGTGCCCAGAAAGCACCAAATAGCATCTTAAAATTGTAAAATTTTCTTGGGAAATAGGCACTTTTAGGCACAGACACTTTTAAAGTGCCCAAACTTCATCGATTAGCACCTTGATATTGTAAATTTTGATATGGGGGACAAACACTTGCTCCCCCTCTGGCACCCCAGCCCCACCTCCCCCTCTGGCACCCCTCCCCCCTTTGACACCTCCAAAATTTGAAAAAAATTGTGATTGTTTTTCAATGTTTTTATTGACTAATACACTTTAAAAGTGCCCAGAAGCACCAAATACCATCTTTAAATTGTAAAATTTTCTAGGAGAGTTAGCCACCCCTCACATCCCCCACAAAACAAAAGAAAATATTCTGAATTTCATGTATTGTCTTAGACATTTTTTAAGTGCCCAGACATCATCAAATAGCACCTTGATATGGTCAATGTTTCTGGGGGACAACCCCTTGCGCCCCATACTGGCACCCCACCCCACTTCACCCTCTCATTCTCTTTGACACCCCTAAAAGAATTTGAAAAAAAAATTCACATTTTTCTTATTGACTCATATCGCACAGGCGTACCAGATGGTTGCAAATTCGCACCATATAGCATCTCAAAACTGTAAAATTTTCTAGGGGGAGTGGACCACTCCTCATACCCCCCACAAAACAATTGGAACGTTTGGAAGTTGCATTTGTTAATTCCAAACCAATATAGGGAGTAACTGACCCCCCCCCCCTCTGTCTTACGCGATTTGATTACGCGGCAAAAAAATGACAATTTTATATTCTCTTTAGTAAGCTAAAAACCGCACCCCCCTTGGAGAAAAGTGTCTTACGGGCCTGTTATGTGACAGAATATGCCACGCAAATACGCATTTTACCTGATTATTGTCAAGCAAAAATACTCCTGTAGAAAAACTTCAAAAAATTGATTGCCGATACAGCAAAATAAGGCCGAAAAAAACGAACGCATTTCATTCTGACTTATTAAAATGTTGCATAAAAAATTACAAAATCGTAAAATGTTGCACATTGTCACGGTCTTATCAGGCTTTAACATTACGATGGTCATGACAGGCCATGCAATGTAATATTGTCATGGTGATACCAGCCCTTACGGAAAATAAAAGCTGTGACAGCGCTGCTACAGCGCTGTCGCAGCGCTGTGACAGCATATAGGCTTAAACTGATGGCTGGATCAATTTCAGCGACAATGCTCTCACATCCATACGCTGTGAGAACGCTGTGAGAGCGCTGTCACAGCATTCTATTTCCATCCATTGCTGCGAGAGGGATGTGACAGTAATTAAGTGGCTGGATCAATTACAGCAACATGTTATCTTAGCCAGAGTTTGTGGCAGCGCTCTCACAGCGCTCTCACAGCCCTCTCACAGCAGGAAGTACCAATGCATTGTGGGTTAAAAAATTCAAACTGAAAATCAGTTAGAGCAGGAAGTTTGTAGGAGGAAAAAGCAAAGGAATTATGCTGAAATGGCCATCATATCATTACTGATTTATAAAGCACATGTAAGGTATTGTACTACTGATTATTTATAGATACCTTTGGAATGTTTTAGTGATCTAAGGAAAAGGATCAAATGATATGAATTTTGTGCAAGTTAGTACTGGTTAAACTAGAAGTCTGAAATATCATTAATGTATAGTCCATATAAACTATATGTCCATATAAAGACTTGCAGATGAACTTTGTAATTTCAGAAAATTCCAGGTTAGTTCACATTTGATAAGTTGAATGGGTTAAATGACTTTATATATGTATGCAAAAAAGCCAAAGGAAAGGACCAAAAATTGTTGCAGAACCCATCCAGACATAAGAAAAAAACATGTTGGGCCTGAAGCCAATGAGGGCCGGGTCACCTTTCCAAAAATTCACAGTTGGTTCACCCCTCCTCCCTCTCCTGCCAGTCATAAGGAAAACAAACTCCAGCTAATTTCATGGCCAGTTCATTTAAATATGAATATAAATGAGTTGGTCATGAATTAGGTTAATCTAGGTTAATTAGTAGGTTAATCCATCAGCCAACAACCAGCAGTTGGATTGGCAAATGTTAGCTAAGTCGATCAAGTCAAAGAGAGTAATTGTTTATGAAACTTGTCAAATAATAGTACAATAACGTCATTTCTAAGGGCAATATAGTGAAGTCCAATATTTCACTATATTGCTCGCAGAAATGACGTTATTATTAGTATTATTACCACCGTTGATGACCAGGGCTGAAATAGCAAGAAAATCTTACGCATTGAACGATATCTAATTTCCCAGGGAAAAATTGCCGTTCCAGAAAATATTCTAGACCGGTCCATATGGACTACCACTATGACGTCACACATTTCTCAGGTCGATATATATACTAGCACTAAAACCCCTAGAACTGGCCCGGCAAGGTGGTAATAACTGGTAATAATAAAGGTTGGAAACAAAAGAAATAGCTAATAATTGCTCCCCTTAGCAGGCACTCCAATCTCAACCCATATTTTTAAAATCGTTTCTTATTAAAGTTTAGTCAACTAGTCAAATAGAGTTATTAATTTCGTTAATGGGATTCATATTAATATTGGTATGTATGCAGCAAAAATAGTGACTGGCCAGGTTTAACAGTGTGACTGGTAAGATGTAACAGTTTTTTTTTAATTTTGATTACCTATTACTAGTATTACAAGCCTAGAATCTACTTTTTCCATGCTGAATTTGTTTATAATTTGAAACGTTTTAAAGATATTTAAATTTATAGGCTATAGGTAATTAAGATTTATGTGTATGAAGGATACATAATCAATGCCATATATGGCAATGCTGTGACAGCGCTGTCACAGCCTCATTTGCATGGTACATTCCGATGGGCTGTCACAGCGCTTTGAGAGCGCTGTGAGAGCGCTGTCGCAGCGCTGTGACAGCGGGCTGTGAGAGCGCTGTGACAGCGGGCTGCGAGAGCGCTGTGACAGCGGGCTGCGAGAGCGCTGTGACAGCGGGCTGTGAGAGCGCTGTGACAACGGGCTGTGATAGCCAGTAAATTTGTATAAGGGAGGCTATCATAACACTACATGTACCATGTCATGGCAGGATCCTTGCAAAAGTTAAAAACACTTAATAACATGGTGAGGGTTGTGCCACAGGCATAAGTCTTGCAACAGATGGTGTCTCTGAAAAATTACAAAAGCATAAAATGTTGCACAGAAAGTTACAAAATGTACTAAAATGTTCCACTGAAAAATTCGAAAATCCTACACACAAAAAATCCCGGGAAGAACACTGAAGAACAGGAAAATTTGAAGCAAATGCAAGACAATTCCGAACAAACTGCCTTCGATTTTTATGTTCTTCTCCTGAAATATTTTTACTTGACAATAATCAGAAAAATGCATATTTGCGGGACATATTCTGTCATGCAAATATCTGGCGTGACTTCAATTTCTTTGAACAGCAAATGCATGACAAATACGCAAACTGCGGGACAGTTGGAGTGGATCTAAGGCCTGCGATTCAACTGAAAACATAAATAGTGGGGTAGATAACAACTAATCAGTAATTATACTGATACTGTACAGTGCCTAGATTAAAACCTATGTCCCACTTTAGATCTAATTTCTGACAGTGACACTGTGACTGGGGTTACAAAAAATTGAAAAAATAAAAAAATTGAATTGAAATTGAAAGTCAAATAAGTAAATATAATTACCTTCTTTTTCAACAAGGTATCGCCACATAGAGCCTTATAAGGCAATCTTTATGAACCACTTGCTTCTTCATACATCTGCTCCTTTACATTTCACTCATAAGAGATAATAATGTCAAATCTGTAGACGTTTCAGTCGCCGGAAGTCATAACCCGGAAGTTGATGTCATACCAAATCGAGGCTCTAAAATTTTAGAAAAATATTATTTTACAGTTTATTTTCCAGTTTTGGTCCAATTCAATCCATGTGTAGTATAGTTCGCATGTGTGTTATGTAGTTATGTAGTCCAATTATCTTGGGAAGCTATGGTTAATGGTGAGTACCGAATGAATGAACCAAGGGAGTAAAAGTGTTAGGATCAATTTTTCAAACCCAAATTTTGGGCCAAAATAGATCTAAATGCAGGTGGATTTTCTATCACCATATCCAAACTATGGTGTTTCGAAAGCCCTATAATTTCAAGTATTGTCAAGATACATATCCCTTAGAATTTGTATATCTTACATTTCTTATACTCTCATCCACTGATGTATGACCTCTTGAAAATTCTCTTATTTTTAACATGGGAAATCCTCACTTCAGCAAATCCATGTCATTATTTTTGTTCCAAACTGTACACAGTCAGCACCATCTCATAAAATAGTATCTAAATAAAAAGGGACTTCCCTCTATTCTATTACTAACTAATTATAGATCATTGATAGTGCTGACTGTGCAGACATACACTGTTCATGTAATGACGCAAGTGACGCCTCTTGCTTATTACCTTCATTTATCATGGGCGTTTCTGCAGGTCGTTACATTAGTGTCAGATGTTGAATTGCCCCTTGTGAATCAGTAACACTGCAGGCCTGTCAACTGTCCCGCAATTTGTGTATTTTTGCTTAACAATAATCAGAAAAAATTTGTATTTGCATGAAATGTCTTGCAAAAAACTGGTGTGATTTCTTCAGCAAATGCATGACAAATAAGCAAATTGTGGGACAGTTGACATGCCTGCAAATGTCAATTGTTCCTGTCAGTGGTTCCTGTATAACTTATCTTAATTGTCATGTCAATATTTTTATCAAAAGTATTGTGTACAATGTACATGTGTACCTCTCAGATCAGTTTTGAAATTAAGTGAGCTATAAGCCATTTAAGCTCATTTTCGAAAGCTGGTGGAACCTGTTACCCGGACTTCTATGTACATGTACGTGCCATCACCGGAAATTTTATGGCACCTGCCATCACAAAAGATTATTGCTTTTATTTCAAGGTCATGATGCCAATGTAATGTTGTGTTTTCAGTTGTAAGATCATGATGTCAGGTCAAGAGTCTAAAATTACCAAACAGTGTGCCTGTAAAATTTGTAAAAGTTTGTCCGATTTTCACCCTGATTTTCTTTAAAAAATCCAGACTTCTCCAAATTTTTAAAACAAACATATCCCGATTTTTTTCTTTTACTTGACAGATAGAGATTATGATGTCAGGTCAAGAGTCTAAAAGTTTTCCCTATTTTCACCCTGATTTTTCTTAAAAAAATCCTGACTCCTCCCAATTCTTAAAACGAACATATCCCGATTTTTATTTTTTTTACTTGACAGATAGAGATTATGATGTCAGATCAAGAGTCTAAAAGTACCAAACAGTGTGCCTGTAAGGGTATTAGAACATGCCTCGTGTGTGAGCCAACAACCATAGAACAGAAACTTCCAAACAGAAGGGTAAGAAAGTACAGTGAAACCAGCATATCTGAATACTCTCTAATCTGAACACCTCTCTAATCTGAACACCTCTAATATGAACACCTCTCAATGTGAACACCTCTATAATCTGAACACTTTTGAATATGAACACTATTTTTCAGTTCAATATTTAATCTGACAAAGATCTCCATTTTAAAATATCTTAAAATTTGAAACATGCCAATCCAAACACTAAATGGAAAATCCCAATCGTGTTTGATTTAGTCAGGTTTTAGTTTATTAATGATGCAGCAAGCAACTTTAAGTGGCAGCAAATATTTTGTTTTGCGGAGGGATAAAAGTTCACGTTCTTTAATAGCTGAAGATATTGAAATTGAATGAGCAATAACACGGGGGTAAAGCAGACCCGATGATACAATGAGCTTGCTCGGCGGTATCATGACTGTGTAACGGGTCTTGATGTATAAGTGAGCTCGGCGGTAGGTTCAAACAACGCGGATCCTCAAAGCGTGTGCTCATGGTATATTCGTGGCTTAACACCCGTGAATAATGTTAACGCCTTGGAAGGAGATAATCTATGATATTAATTTTTTGTGAAATACGCATTGGGGGCATATTGTCATATTACGAACCTCATATGTCGAACGTTGATTAAAAAAATTGTGATTTGCTGTAAAATATGAATGAAATAATGTACAAATATATAATATGAATAAAAAAAATAAAAATAAAAAATGTCATATTTTTTGCTTGCATGTTGGCATTGCCCACTTTTCCATAAATCTACATGCACAAATATATGTCATATTATATATGAACTGCTTTACTTTAGGAAACCTATTTATATTGCCAAAAGTGTGAAAAGGCATGGCTACAAGAAGAGGGATCCACAAATGATCATTCCAACCATTCAGGACAGTCCATACAATTCCCTGGAGTTTACGTCAAAACTGATTTTTTAACAGAAATTGAGGAGAAAACTCTGGTGTCTGAGGTAGAAAAACAACCATGGGTAGAGTCACAGTCAGGACGTAGAAAACAGGTATGATGTGGGGTAGAAAAAGGTACTACATAGGGTAGAAAAAGGTACTACATAGGGTAGAAAAAGGTACTACATAGGGTAGAAAAAGATACTACATAGGGTAGAAAAGGGTACTGCATAGGGTAGAAAAAGGTACTACATAGGGTAGAAAAAGATACTACATAGGGTAGAAAGGGTACTACATAGGGTAGAAAAAGATACTACATAGGGTAGAAAAAGATACTACATAGGGTAGAAAAGGGTACTACATAGGGTAGAAAAGGGTACTGCATAGGGTAGAAAAAGGTACTACATGTAATATGTGTTAGTAGAAAATGGGGACTTTTATTAAATGATTGGATAGAAATAGGTACTGCATGAGGTAGGAAATTGATATTACAAGGGGAAGAAAAATGGGTACTTTATTGAGTAGAAAATGGGTACTATATGGGGTAAAAAATGGGTACAGTGAAACCTGCATATGCAAACACCTCTCTAATCTGAACACCTCTCAATGTGAACACTTTTTCTTGATCCGAGAAAATTGTTTGTCTCATTGACTTACATGTTTATAAAACCTTACAAACTTATCCATATACCATTGGCCAATTCTAGAGGCCTCCGGATTAGACAGGTTTTTTGTATTTCATTGGGTGGGAAATGAGTACTACAGTGCTCACCAGAAATAAATGACACCTGGATTTGCTGAAGTGAGGATTTCCCACGTTAAAAAGAAGAGAATTTTCAAGAGGCTATACATCAGTGGATGAGAGTATACAAAATGTAAAATATACAAAATTTAAGGGATGTGTATCTAGACATTATTGGAAAGTATGAAGTCTCACATCACCATGGTCTGGGAATGGTGATAGAAGATCAAGATGCCATTTATTTATGGTGAGCGCTGTATGTGGATAGCAGTGGCTGACCTGTCAAATCCCGATTTAAATCGAGATAAATACTGATTTTTTTATTGCTCATCCCAATTTTTTTCAAAATCCAAATTTAAGAAAATATCCCAATTTTTTCGTAAAATATCCCAATTTTTTTCATGAAATATCCCGATTTTGTGTCCTTTTAACAACTTTTATATCACTGCTATATGATTTCTTACAGATTTCAGAATTATTAGCTGCTAATACTTAAACATTTTGAAATAATTAGAGGATGGCATTTTTGGAGGGTGACCCCCCCCTTTTAAGTGATTTGTTCATCTTATTAAAGTACATTTATTTTTGTTTTTTTTTCCAGGATTATGGGCCAAAAGTAAATTTCAAGAAGAAAAAGATAAAAACAGCATCATTCACGGGCCTACCAGAATTCAGCGAATCAATAATCGACAAACTCACTAATCTTCCATTGCTGAAAAACTTTAAGGTTGTTGAACAATGCAATTTGGAGTATGACCCGAAACATGGAGCCGCAATAGACCCCCATTTTGATGACTTTTGGCTGTGGGGTGAACACCTAGTGACGTTAAACCTTTTATCAGATACATTTTACACAATGAGTGACCCACAGAATGAGGATTATATAGTCAAGATATATTTACCTCCTCGATCGCTTGTGGTCCTTTATGGTCCGGCTAGGTTCAAATGGAAGCATGCAATTGAAAGGGGGGATATAAACGCAAGACGATTGGCTATCACATTAAGAGAGTTAACCCCTGAATTTCTGGAGGATGGACCGAAAGAGGAGCAAGGGAGAGAATTGTTAAAGATCGCATATGGGTTTAAAGGGCTCCCAGTTGGAGTCGCAGTGATATGAATGCCATGAAATTAGTGATTTTGGACATCTCTCCAAGTAGCATTTTTAATTGTTTGCTTTTGGTCTTGTTGAGCTCATCCATGTAGCAGTCCTGTTTACAAGTGCTTTATTGTTTATATGGCACTTCCAAAAAGTGCTTTATTGTTTATATGGTACATGTACTTCCAAAAAGTGCTTTATTGTTTATATGGTACATGTACTTTCAAAAAGTGCTTCATTGTTTATATGGCACTTCCAAAGGTGCTTTATTGTTTATATGGCACTTCCAAAAAGTGCTTTATTGTTTATATGGCACTTTCAAAAAGTGCTTTATTGTTGTCATTCTGTGCTGATTGGTGTGCGTGAAGCACAACTTATAATAAATAATCATCAATGTAGCAACAAAACTGTTCATCCATTTAACTTGAAATTGTAAAATATTTTGGATATAATGGAAGCCATTTTCTAAAATCTTGACTTTTTAAGTAATGGAATACTGTACTCCCACTAATATTCGACGCTATTATATTTTGCGTTTTTGGCATTTTGAAATTTCGCAGCTATATATACTTCGCTAATTTTCAGTTTTTTGAAAATTCGCGGCTATTAATCTCTGCGGATTTTTCATACATGATCACTCTTTCGATTTAGATGAATTCTGTAATTTTCAAAAACTTGCGAAAAGCGCGAAATATAGTAGCGCGGGAAAATTACCAGGAGTACAGTATACGTACATGAGAGCACAATAAAAGTAAATATCATTCATATTGTATTTATTCAATTTATTTAAAAACAGAGTTTTTGTACAGTGTACATTATATTACATAGGGGATCATTATAAAATGGTTCACATTGAGACTCCCAATTTGAATTACATGTAAGCTAAACGCTCAATGAATTGTGGATGATTGAACACGAATGACTTTTATCATGGCTTTGAATGAGGGCCATAGCCTGAATTAAGGATTTAAGCCCTGGACTCAATGCAATGTGGAATGACCATTCCTTGAAGATTTTGCTTTCCAAAATTAACACGCCTGAAAGGAATGGTCATTCCATAATGCAATGTGGAATGACCATTCATTGAAGATGTTGCTTTCCAAAATTAACACGCCTGAAAGGAATGGTCATTCCATAATGCAATGTGGAATGACCATTCATTGAAGATGTTGCTTTTCAAAATTAACACGCCTGAAAGAAATGGTCATTCCACAATGCATTGAGTCTTAGACTAGTATCACTAACTGCTAACAAGAATGAAATTCAACCAAAAACCTTTTTGCAAGGTTTGACATTTTGACCTGCATAAGCACCTACCTTTCTATTCAATATGTGATTCTATTTATAGTTTTCCATTAAATTGCCTTTTGAAATTGATGAGGGTATTTGATTTTACTGAATCTAAAAACAGTTTTAGACCGTTGAAACAGTTCTCTCTGTTGAAAAATATAGAATGCATGTTATTCTAAATACTGTTTTGTATGTTTATTATTGACTGTGATCAAAAATGATTAACTTTGATGATAATAGTCAATGTAAAGTTACAGAGTACAAAACTAAGCCAAATTGCTACATGTTGAATATGCCTTTTTACTGACATTGCATGCTTGACGAGAGAGAAATACTATACAAATATTGAATTCTGTGGAGTTGAATATGTGTATATATTTCTGAAGGTGTATTCACCGCAGCCCGAAGGATGAAAATACTTTTTACTAAATTACCGGGAATTAAGTGATGTGATGTCATTTTAATTGAATATGTAGTGGCACTGAAAATGACGTCACTGCCGGTGAATACACTCTTCACACGTTTTCTAAGCGGGGAGACATGGAATACCTCCATATATTTTTAGTCACATGGTATATATAATTGACCAATGAGAGAACGAGTATCACAGCATGGAAATAATAAACCTTCTTATTTTTGTTGTCATGTGAATAGTAAAGACCCTTAGCCAGGGGGCGTTCGCAAGGTTTGGGCAAACCCCCCCCCCCCAGGCCAAAAATTCTTTCAAAATCATGCACTTTTTTACCATTTTACACTTCTCAAGTGATTTTAGCCATATTTGGGCCAAAATTGTCAAATATGAACCCCCCCTGGAAATTTTTGAAAACTGAACCCCCCTTGGCAAATCCTGGCTACGGGCCTTTGGTACGACCAATAAGAGAGTGGGGTATATAAAGGAAATAACAGTGCTAAATTGCAGCTGGTATACATTCACTGGTAAATTGAATTTCACTGCTATGAAGCAAGTCCAGCTTTTTCAATAATGTCCCCTCGTCCTAGCTGAATACAAGCGTCCAATAACGTTCCAGCCTTTGCCAATCCAAGCTCCTTCCATTTACGCAGCATTTGGAAAACTTGTTCCTGGAGGCCATAACTGCTGTGATCGATTTCAATGTAGTCCAATTTCATATCATCGATACCTGTAGTAAAAAGTCTTTAAATGGTCAAAATAAGAAAACATGAATATACAGGGTATCCATAAAATCTATTTACAATAACAATACAAAATCTGTAAAGTTTAAAGAGACTTCATGAACACCCTGTATTTATAAAAATGGCACCATTTAGTAGGTTCACATGAGGTGTTGATAAAATAATTTTTTGACAGCAAATAAGAGCCATGACATGGCAAAAGTAGGGGCCTTGGAAAATGATAAAAAGGGAAATACCGATATGTAGCAAATAAGATATTTTGAGAAACGAAACCTAATCCATGGTTTTAAGAGAGTCCGTTTGATATTTTTCTCATCCTGGGATGTTTATTTTATTGAGTAGAAGCAAACATAATGAAATATTGGAATCCCTCCATAAGAGGAACACTAGTCCAGTTCCCCATTAACTTATTAAAAGTGCAACAAGTGAAAAGTACAGAGTGAGAGCACCGAGAGACAAACAAAGTACACAGTGACCAACTGCTGAGGAAAAAGCAGCATTAAATGCACTACAACAACAACACAAAAGTGGACCTAACTTCTCATGCGGAACACTAATAACATTAACCAAAAACTTTCCACTTACCACTTACACATGTCTATTTCTACGCATGGTCATAGATGGGGCTTCTAATATCACTTACTATATCGGGTGTCCCAAAAAAAACGTCCCGCTTTTTGAGCTCTTATAACTCTGCAAGATATTAACCAATTCATTTGAAATTTATCAGGGAGTAAGAAAACGATATTATCTATAAGCTATAAAAATATTAAATTAATCGGATGTACATTATGTGAGTATCGCCAAATACAAGATAGCATAGCAAGAAATGTAATATCAGAGGATAACTCAATTATTTCACCTTATAATGTAGATTGATGAGCATCGCCAAATACAAAAGTTAAACAGCATAAGATAAAAAGTTGGTACAGCAAAAGATCGACAACCCACTTATCTAATAACTTGTGCTCAATGTGGCCTCCATCTTCCTTCACAACTAAACGAAGTCGTTTCTTCCATACATAGATACTGCTCTTGATTTCATTCTGTGATATCTCCTGCCATGACGCACTTATTCTCTCTTTTAATGTTTGTTCTGTAAAATTATCCCTCATACCACTGTTAACTTTTTGATTTAGAGGATCCCAAACAGAGTAATCCATTGGATTACAGACTGGACTTTGTGGAGGCCATTCAACCTTTTTGATAAATGCTGTGGTGGATATCTATATGAGTTACCCCACTTGTGTGGGAAGGGGCCCCATCTTGAAACACATAGTCATTTCTAGGGTAAATCCTCCTACAATCAGGTAGCAGATTTTCATCTAATAACTTAATATAGCTTTCACTGTTGACTTTGGCTTTGTCAGTATTAATGAAATAAATGTCCGTCTTCCCCTTCCAGGATACTCCTGCAGAAACCATTATCTTTTGGATAACGTGAAGTTTCATGGTAAAGACGTGATGGTTGAATTTGACGTTTACGCTTTCCATACACCCGATCATTTTGACGATTTTTGGGCACTTCAAGAGAAAAGTCCTTCTCATCAGTGAAAATGATCTTCTTGACATCTGCGGATGAATAACGATCATATAAATTGCGACATCTTGTTTTTCTTTTTCCTTTAACATATAAGTGAGTTGTCGATCTTTTGCTGTACCAACTTTTTATCTTATGCTGTTAAACTTATGTATTTGGCGATGCTCATCAATCTACATTATAAGGTGAATTAAGTGAGTTGTCCTCCGATATTACATTTCTTGCTATGCTATCTTGTATTTGGTAATACTCACATAATGTACATCCGATTAATTTAATATTTTGATAACTTATAGATAATATCTTTATCTTACTCCCTGATAAATTTCAAATGAATTGGTTAATATCTTGCAGAGTTATAAGAGCTCAAAAAGCGGGACGTTTTTTTTGGGACACCCGATATATACAATTTGCAATATTCGTAAAAAAGTAGGAAAAAATGGCTTCAATATAAACTACAATATGTTAAAATTGCCTTACCAAGTTAAAATTGGCTTACCAAGTTAAATGGGCTTAGCAAGTAAAAATTGGCTTACCAAGTTTCCTTCCAAATGTTTTCCACTCTGCTCCTACATGCTTTGCAATCCTATTGAGATCTCTGTCCGTCAGTTTGTAGTTCCTGTCTGCAAATAGAATAGATGTCAGTGTAAATGAAGTGATGTCAATGTGGGTGAGAGGTGATGTCACAGAGGGAATTAATGTCAATGTGGGAACAGATATAAACTATTTTGGAAAGATGTTTTTTTAAGTGGGACGAGAGGTGATGTCAATGTGAATAGACAGGCGATGTCTACATGGGAAGGGATGTGATGTCAATGTGTGAAGAGAGGTGATGTCAAAATGAGAAGAGAGGTGATGTCAAAATTGGTAGATATGTGATATCAATGTGAATAAAGAGGTGATGTCATTTTGATGCTTTATGTTTGTTTTTTCTTGATTGGTAGTTGCAACGTCAACGCGGCAGCCTGACGTATTTGCAACAAACGATTATATCTCTTAAGCAGCTATAAATACATTTTAGTTTTACTCGCATATTTGTATTTATATTTATGTACACTTACTATACACACTAATTTAGAATTGCACCAGAGGGCAACACCACCTTTCTTCAATTTACAAAAATTGTATATTTCTTTTACTAGATTACAAGATATTGAAAGCATCTCATACTTTCATACAGTACTGCAGTACCGACCTTGGGGAAGGTATGATGATACGCTATGTCTTCCTTCTTATCTTTATAGAAAATGCAGATCCATAATGTCATTATTTATTGATCTCAAGAGTGTTAGGTAACAGGTCTATCTAGGCCTACGGCGTGCATCTACGCGGTAGCTAGGCGTCGTCATCAGTACAAAAAAACAACAACAAAACAATGAATGTGTGTAAAATATAGTCATTTTTTTATAATTGCGTTACAATTAGGTGCTAGGCCAATTTTGGTCGGCGGCGTGCGTCTACGCGGTAGCTAGGCGTCGTCGTCAGTCAAAAACAGCAATATTGTTTGTTTGTAAATAGTGATTATTTTCAATTTAACATTTACATAATTTGTATACATGTATCTCCTTTATATAAAGGGCAATAAATATATACATACATACATACATACAATAGAGGTGATGTCATTGTGGGAAGGGATGTGATGTCAATGTGAATAGAGAGATGGTGTCATTGTGGGAAGGGGTGTGATGTCAATGGTGGAAGTGAGGTGATGTCAATGTTTATTTAAAACTAACTTTTAGAGGTTACACATATCTTTTAATTAGCCACAGTTCATACCAATGCGTAGCATTCATCCTTCCATGTTTTTTGCCAAAAAAATTAAGAAAATCGGTTCATTAAATAAGCGAGAAATGAACTTTTCAGTGCATGAAAATGGTTCCGAGAAAAATGCATTTCAAAATTTTAGTTCTCATAGAAACCAATGGTACAATGATATCTAAAACATAATATGTTCTTCCTTTTAACCTGGTTAGACAATCAACATTGGTTTATTATTGAAGTCTGGCATATTAAGAAAAGATTGACATCACTAATGTTTCAAAATATTTTGATATGCTAAAACATTGAAGTGCCCCATTAAATATGGCATTTTATTATTGAAATAGTGTGTCCTTTGTTCAATCTTTGCATTGGTGTTAAAAAGATAAACTTTTTTGAAATATTTGATGATTAAAAATATTCAACTTTTTTGAAAAATGGCAGGAAATTTGAATATTTGAGAAATGAAATGCTCACAACTTTTTTTCCAAAAATTTTCTTTTCAAAAATCTCTAAAATAACTTTTTAAGTCATGACAAATAGTAAATGAATGATAAAAAAATATTTTTAAACTTTGGACGGGGACTTTAAAGTGTGCGCCAAAGTTTAAAACTGCGCAGGCGCAGCGCTCTCGCTAACCTATATAAAGAGATTACAAGGTACAGGCTTCAGAGGTAAGCCAGGAAGGTGAACAACTATCGTCCCATGTTGATTTCCCGTATAATCGTAAACAGGCAAGTTTCACCATTGAAATTGAAAATTACTATTAGATATACTTTGTAGGTGTTATTAATGAGCTATTAAGTGTATGCATCAATCAAATGGCTCATTTTGAACATATAAAAAGTATTTGTGTTTTGTTTCCCAGGGAATCGTATTCCTATGTAGTACACACATAAATAGTGTACATTATATAGTACTTGAATAGCCTGGTTTATATAATATTTAAGGGCATGCTGATTACATGCACACGAGTACATGAATGAAGGCCTAATATTGATATACGTAGCTTGCATACCTAAATAAAAAATAAACTCTTCTAATCCCCTAATGTAAACACGGCGGTATACGTAGCCCGATTTATCGGAGACTTTAAGTGGTTAATGTTTCCTCGCAAGTCTATAGAAAAGATACAATGGAAGGTTTTCCTTATTGTATAGTGTGAACATACCTTTTACTGTAACAGTAGGTGAGCTCCGTGGAGGACCTGATGTCCCATGTGATGTGACATTCATCACATTAGAACTGCCAACCATCACGTTGTTACAGTTTGAGATATTTACAGACATTGAATTTCCACCAGGCTGAAAAATGAAATCAGAAATTCAAGTTGATTCTTCAGCAAATATTTCAATTTTATTTTTCAAAATTCCATATGTGAGATAGCTACTTTCAATTTAAGTTAAAACAAAAGTTGTTATCTAATATTAAACAAACAAGGGATCAAGTCTCACAGGAATCTAATTAGATTTTGAACAATCAACACATTATCTATAGTTCAGCCATATATGCCCACATAAGGGCAGATCATGGGCCTATAGTGTCTGTGTTTACCGATGGTGCTGTCCTCTTTTGTTTCTGCGGTTCAGCCCCACCGTCATATTGATCCAAACCGAAGACAACAGCTTGACCTTTGACCCCAGGTGCTTGACCTCTGACCTGGCTTGCCTGTGGAGCATTATAAAGAACTTCAGACACTCTCGGCTGAGGTTGATTAAACTTTGGTTCAGTAGCAGCATCTAACTTAACATTGCGAGCCAATGGTTGTTCCTTCTCAATGCTGGTGTTCGATTGTTGAGGGGTTGGGTTTGATCCAGAGGCCTTCTACAATTAGATTTAAAAGATACTTAACTACATACAAACAAGGACAGTCAAGAATACAGTGAAACCTGTATATCTGAACACTCCTCTTATCTGAACACCTCTCAATATGAACGCGTTTAGGTCCCATCTGCCAGACTTCCATGTAAAACAAGAAAGTGAACACCTGCTGATCTGAAAATCCAATTTTAGATTTTTAAAATTACAGAAAAAGCTGTTCGAATAGATTTTACTGTAATTACACTGAGCATCAACCCCCTCAACTCAACCACATAACATCAGTTATTAGAAGTTTGGCAAATTAGAATCTTGTTATGGATGGAATCAATCTTATGAATTAACTAAATGATGTTTTGAAACATAAGTGCATACGTGAAACATACCAATTTTTTTACTTGATCCATAACCCATGTGGCAGAGCTCGTGGCATCATCATGATAATTTTCATAAACTTCTTCAAGTTGTGTAGTACACTCTGAAATTAGAAGACAAATAGTTGTTTTAGTCTTTTAGACATTTTATATGTAATGTTGCATTCTGTTTTATACTCAGTAAGTTAACAATACATCCAGGGGTGTAGCCAGCAATTGTCAAGGCCAAGGGGGTGCGATTTTTTCTCTTTTTTCTTTTTTGTGGGGGTTGGGCAATCACACCCATCACACCCCCATGGCTAGGCCCAAGATATCCACAAGTAAATGTAAGTATGTATGTTTTCACTGGGCCATGCTTATCAAATTAGACAACATGTTATGAACAGAAATTTTCACACTAATTTCATTTTATGAATTTAGAAGAGAAAATTTTGAGAAAAATAAAGACAATACTAAAGATTTAAAAATCTAATTTTTGGAAAAATATAAAAATAAGGAAAAGGTTGAAAAGAAAAATGATAATTTGGGAAAATGTCAAATCTGAAAAAATCAAATTTTGTTCAAGATACATGCACTGCCTAAGAATCTGATTTTATAACATGTCTTTTATTTACTGTGATCAAAATTCATACTGTGCTGCTGAAGCACAATTAAATGCTAAATGCAAAAATAAGTCGAAAGTCGATAACAATATCATCACTTCATATTTGTGACCATTGGTGTAGCAACCAGTACGTCTGGTATACCAGATGATTGCAAATACACTTCAAAATTTTCTTTGGGGACGACCCCAGATTCCCCTTAATGCTCGTTTTTCACTTCGATCAACTATTATTCCCGTGGTAGCATACTACTCATAAAAATAGCACACCCATGGTGACATATACTGAATCATTATAAAAGAGAGACATACCATCAAAATTTGGTCTTTTAGTGGGATCATCAGCATAACACTCTTTCATTAGTTTGTATACAGAGAGAAGGTTATTATCAGTAGAAGCATCAGGTAGGAATTTTTCATTTGGCCTTAGATCAAGGCTCACTACTCCAACCAAGATTTCATGGGGTGCATTATCTATAACAAAAAAGAGTCTCACAAAAATTTTGCAAAAATTATGAATTCAACGTAAATAAAATCCAATATTGTAATATTTTAAAGTGGTCTCTTCAGATTAAATCTGTCTCAGCTACAGATGCGCCCTTGGCTTGTACACTATACATGCTATATGATCATTCTGTGATACTTCACTTGTTGCGTTGACTTTGGAAATAGATCATAAAAATCAGGAAATAAATGAAAAAATTGTTCAGTTCAACTTTATTCATAGCTTACTTTCATATGGCTCCTTTCCTGTGATGACTTCCCACATGAAGATGCCAAATCTGCAAAAATATGTCCAAGTCATGACTACCTCCAAAAAAAACTTAAATTCATGACTACATATAACATAAGCAGGTTAAATATTAATGACATGGGCATACATGTATAGCTATAGGCACAAGGAAAATTTTTGAATGAAACTATAACTTATTTGCCTTGCCTCATCCTGGTAGGAATAAGTAATGACTACATATAAAAATAACAGAAGTCATGACTACCACTACCTCCCTACATTCCATTTCCCCAGTCTAGCCAAAAATGTCTGTGAACAGGGGCCTGACCAGGATCCAGAATTAGGTGAGGCAAATTTAAATAGGTGAGGCAAATTTAAATAGGTGGGGTAAATATAAATAGGGCAGGCAAATTTAAAAAGGTGAGGCAAATTTAAAAAATAGGTGAGGCAAAATATTGATTTTTGTCTCACCTCCCCCGTAACTAGCTAAGCCCATGAAAATATATCAGATTCAGAGCATTCAAACTCAAACTTACGAAAATACATCATCCTCTTTACTTTGGATTCTCTTGGGATTTTCCAACTGCTGGGGTGACATGTGTGTTATCGTGCTGTACATTTCTGCACTGTTTTCATTGGTGGAAGTGATCTGACGCTGAGTCTGAGCTAATCCAAAGTCACAAATCTGAAAATGCAAGCGTGTAAGAACAGAATTACTTAATACACCAACTAGCCCTCAGATACATGTAGCAGTACTACAGATACTAGAATTCCGTGATTCTGAATCACTGCAGAAAAACTGCAGAATTTTGGCTTTCCAAATTTTTGCAGAATTTGATTTTGATTTTTTTAGCCCTCAGATAGCCACGTTTTAGTTTGGCAGATAGGAGAAATGGTTCTAACTCTTGATCAATCATCCTTACAAGCAATGATACCCCCTCCCCTTTTGATAGAATTATCATGGGCGTGACGAGGCATGAGGCAAGCAGGGCAAACGGCTCACCAAATTTTTCAGAAATATGCCCTTTGCCTCACCTACCAGTTTTTGCCTCACCTAGTAATTTTAGATCCTAGCTATTCCCCTGATTAAGATTTGATTTTGGAGTTATGAGTGCAACAACTAAAAGATGATTACCTTAACTTCACAGTATTCATTAAGCAAGACATTTCCTGCTTTAAGGTCAAGATGAAGTATCACTGGCTCCATCTGGTGGAGGAAATGCATCGCCTTGGCAACCTGGTATAGTATGCGGTATTTCAACGGAAGTGGGAAATCAGAGCCGATAGTGTACAACAAACTGGAACAGAATTTTTTAGAATTTTAACTTTAAGTGTACCATAGTGAACACCTCTCTCTAGAAAACACCTGGGTTAAGTGAACACCACTTCAAGACACATTTAACATTGACTCCTGTATAACAAGCCCTCTCTGTAGTGAACACCTACCTACAGTGACCACTTTTTAGTGGCTCAGTAGGTGTTCACTATATAAGGTTTTACTGTACAGTGTCAGGAGTTTCTGCATTGGCACATTTTTAAAAATTATTAAAAACCGAAAAAGCATTTTTTATTTTTGTAAAATTGATCAAATCACTCATTGGCCTACATGCTAATGAAACCCTTGTCTGAAGGTAATATCAATTCAATTTAAGTGATTTGTTGTTTGTAACTGTAGACTTAAGTTCTTTTATGTTAATGTATATGTAATGCAAATACTAAGATGATACTGACAGTAGAAGTCCGTCTATTGAGATCATAAAGTGTTAGAAATTAAAAACTCTGACACCCCGGTCACCCCCCCCCCCTACCACCCTAAGATTAACATTCACCACTTACTTTCTCAGTGAGCCGTGAGAGCAGAATTCCATGACGAGTGCATAGTAATCGGGTTCCAGCACAATACCAAATATGTGCACAACATTAGGGTGTCGGGCATTGTACAAGTGACTGGCTTCACTTTTCAGACTCTCCACTTGACTATAATGAAATTCATGTACAATCAAACAATTAAATCAATCAAATTCATGTACAATCAAACAATTAAATCAATCAAATTCATGTACAATCAAACAATTAAATCAATCAAATTCATGTACAATCAAACAATTAAATCAATCAAATTCATGTACAATCAAACAATTAAATCAATCAAATTCATGTACAATCAAACAATTAAATCAATCAAATTCATGTACAATCAAACAATTAAATCAATCAAATCCATGTACAATCAAACAATTAAATCAATCAAATTCTGTACAATCAAACAATTAAATCAATCAAATTCATGTACAATCAAACAATTAAATCAATCAAATTCATGTACAATCAAACAATTAAATCAATCAAATTCATGTACAATCAAACAATTAAATCAATCAAATTCATGTACAATCAAACAATTAAATCAATCAAATTCATGTACAATCAAACAATTAAATCAATCAAAATCAAAGTAAAACCTGTGAATCTGAACACCTCTCTAATCTGAACATCCCTTATTGTGCATATTTTTTATGATCCCATTTTTAATCTTCAAAATTTTAGCTTCTGATAATCTGTACACTTTTTTTAATTTGCCTGCGGTGGTGTTAACAGATTACACAGGTTGTTACTTGGTCAACTTATTACCTCTTAAAAAATCTATTAAATCTCCAATTACGCTAGTTTGGGAAGAAATACATGTAATTCATAAATTATGAGTGCAATGGAGTTACTAAATAAAGGCAAATGACACAAAGGTGACAAGTCTCAAATTAATTATTTTCTTGAAATGGTGACATGAAGACAAGCACTTTGAAGTTGTCATGCAGTGGTTGATGTGTATGTTTAGTGTACTGTACCTTTTTGATAAATTTTCTCCATCATTTGATTTCAAAACCTTTATTGCTACTCGTTGGTGCATGGATTTCACTTTTCCATCATAAACGCTTCCAAATCCACCCGAAGCTAACCATTTCGTGTTAACTACATCATCCTGGGCAAATATTTTTAATCTGTCGACGTTCGCCATTGTTTACAAGTTTATGTAAGTTTGCTTTTTGAGTTATGTCTTTTCCATTTTTCACATAGTAGTTAGTAAGGTTGTCCCCATCACTGAATGCATTGTTTCCTGTCAAACAAAACAGATTACTTGTTATTCTACCGTCGTCATCAAGATAAAAATGTGACTATAATGTATATAATATAAACCATCACAATGTGTAAGGGTATGTGAAACATGTATATATCAGACAGGAAACTATGAACCATGGCTTCCTCCTCCTTTTGATAAGGAAAAAGTGATTTTCAATTTGACCAAAAATATGCTCCATCTATAAATTAGATCTAGGCCAACTCCAACTTACTTCATTTTTACCATATAGTCACGCGCATCAAGACTTTGTTACATGTTACACATAAGGTCTAAACATTTCTGTTTCGATTTCAAGCTAGAACATAGATCCTAGAGTAGATCTTACAATTTACATTTATTTTTTGAAATATTTGGGTTTCATTTCAAAAGGGGATTCCCCTATTTTGAAAATGGCGCATCGACTCTTCTGAAACGAATTTTATGTTTGAAATTATTTTTTTCATATAGATTTCAGCAATATGAGTTTTAAAATATCATTGTTCTATAAAAAAAATAATATTTGGATACTTATAGTATTTCAATTGATAAATTTATTAAATGAGATAATAAAATAATTTGTTGGTTTCGTTTCAAATTTCCATACTGGATATCTAGAATTAAAACTCAGAAAAATGAATGTATTTCGAGGTAAGGTATAGTTTATAATCCTATTTTTATCAAATTAGAAACGTCTCAGATCAACCCATTAACAACAGTACAAAGGCTTGAAACAAAAGATATGTTGATATACGCAGTAAATGTCACCAGGAAGTTAATTTCTCCGTGGACTTTCAAGAAGTCTGAAAATCAGAACTTGATTTCTCTTCTGTTGCATTTCTTGGAACTTCCTTAGACACAAGGAGGATTGGCTCCCAGACTGCAACATCGATATTCTGTCCCATATATAGGCATGTCGTGCTACAAAATTTGAATTCCAACAGCCGCCATTTTGTTCACTTCAACATTTGAATCGTGAATTTTGGTCTTATTTCTTAACGAAAAATTCCAAAACTCACAGGAAATGATCGAGATATTGGTTCGAATCTTTTGAACTGTTTATTTTGAATTTATAATCGGTTATAATTTCAGAAAATAACGACATCTCGGCGTTTTCATTGTTGGAAAATATCGACTTCGATTCTGGGAGCCAATCCTCCTTGCTTAGACAATAGTTGTAGAATTCCTAGAGTTAGATTCTAAGTATTAATCCACCCAGAAGAGCTTAGATTCCGATACATGCTCTTGTACACTTTTACACATAGGCTTTGGAACATGTATACAAAAACTGGCTGTAAATTCTAAATTAGCGATCCAGAAGATGTGAACTAATACACTGATCACTTCATGTGTGTTTTGGAATTTTTGGTGAAGTAATAAGACCAAAACTCGCAATTCAAATTGTGATGTGGAAAAATGGCGGACATATATGATTTCAAATTTTATGATTACGACATGACCAGTTGTTCATGCAGGAATATATCTTTACTGGAAGGCCACGATACAGTGGCCTTAGAAGAAGGTAAACTGAGTCAAGAGATCTCAACATTTTAGAAAAGCCATATCGATCTTACACGAGTCTCTAGCCAATACTTGGCTAGAGGGGATTTCATCTGGAATACTGTGAACTCCATTTAAAAAAAGCTGGCCGTGGTATCATAAATTTATTGAATATTTTAAAAATCACCAGATAAATAAATCATTAATCAAAACGGACCCCACTCGGCTCCTTGATGACATATGACATGATTTCATCAGGATTTTGTCTAAAATTAAAACAAAATGGCTCCAAGAAAAATGGCGATGTTCGAAAACTGGACGAAATGTCGTTAACGTCTGACATTAGTAACTGGCTGTAAATTCTAAGTTAGCGATCCAGAAGATGTGAACTAATCCACTGATCACTTTATGTGTGTTTTGGAAATTTTGGTGAGGTAATAAGACCAAAACTCGCAATTCAAATTGTGATGTGGAAAAATGGCGGTCATGATTTCAAATTTTATGATTACGACATGACCAGTTGTTCATGCAGGAATATATCTTTACTGGAAGGCCACAATACAGTGGCCTTAGAAGATGGTAATATCGATCAATCGTATTCTGTGCTGGATTTTTTACTGAACTGCACTTGTCTTAAACTCTTTCTGAGAAAGCAAAATCAAATATTTCTTAAAACTTTTAAAAAATAATTAAAAAGTTCGACAATCGGGGCTATTTTCTACCCTATTGATAATGTATGTGCAGCTCACATATTGTACATACTTTCTTGGACCTATCAGTCTATAGAATAAGCGCAAAAAGTTTGAGCAGGAGACTTTTTCTCACGATTTCATTCTCAAATTATTATCGTCCGCGACCATAATGTTTTTGTGAATGTCAAATTCTTATTAATCGAAGTTGTTACAATAAATATTTCCAGCGATAACTAAACATTAGACGATATAAGATATATAAAACAATTATGAATCACTTATCAGTTATTAAGGTTATTTTTGTGTACAAAACATCTCTAAGAACATGTTTTTCCAAGACCAATAAATGAACAATAAACATATATCTATTGATTTCGTTTCATTCCAGTTCGCTATTGCGAGTTGGTGTGTGTTCTTAAAGGAAAGCAAATAGTTCAAAAATTCGAAGTATGAGGAAGCAATTCTGATAGTCCATTTCCGAAGATAAAATCAGATGGTTCAGACATTCATACCAGTCTGCACCAGCCTTAAATATAAGGAGTATTTCTTGTACATGCTTCGCACTTACTTTTTTATTCAAGGATTGGTGCTTCGGTTGCCGCGGTTGGATGTTATTACACACAGAGCCATCGCAACAACAGTCCCCAATTCTGCGGGGGAGAAGTGGCGATTGCAGTAAGTACTATAATAGGACAACTTGAAATAACTCTGGCCACCAAGTTGCTTCTAGAGCACAGCTATAGTCACTATGTCTCTCATTTTCTTTCATTTCTGTATCTGGCTTGTTTAACTATGCTTGGAAGTATTATGTTCCCTTGGGGTCCGTAGGTGCCCTCCAGTCATTACAAACTGATTCACGCTTTTGCTCTGCTCTACAATTGAAAAATTAATGGAGCATTTTTGGGGTTTTGTATCGGCAATTCATCTAATGAAGAAATATTTTGAAAAATTGCAGCCATTATTGTGTCATTTTATATTTTATGTTTGTGCATTGATAATTAGAATGTATTTTCCAGAAAGCATTACCCTATGCCTTTTGACAATTTGGCAAATGGGACTTTCCACCTAGTAATGTACATGTATTTCTGTTTCCATAATTCAAATATTGTTGTCTTCTGATCTTCTCATAACATTTTGATTTTTTGTGTTTTTAATTGACTAATACATTTAACACTATTAATCTCTCATTTTTACTTCAGGCATGGCAAAGCTAGGTGTGGGAACGAATATGGTCCTTTAACAGATTTACCTGATTGGTCATATGTAGGTAAGTAGATGATGTTTAATATGGTCCTTTAACTGATTTACCTAATTGGTCATATGTAGGTAAGTAGGTGATGTTTAATATGGTCCTTTAACAGATTTACCTGATTGGTCATATGTAGGTAAGTAGATGATGTTTAATATGATCCTTTAACAGATTTACTTGATTGGTCATATGTAGGTAAGTAGATGATGTTTAATATGGTCCTTTAACAGATTTACCTGATTGGTCATATGTAGGTAAGTAGATGATGTTTAATATGATCCTTTAACAGATTTACTTGATTGGTCATATGTAGGTAAGTAGATGATGTTTAATATGGTCCTTTAACTGATTTACCTAATTGGTCATATGTAGGTAAGTAGATGATGTTTAATATGGTCCTTTAACAGATTTACCTGATTGGTCATATGTAGGTAAGTAGATGATGTTTAATATGATCCTTTAACAGATTTACTTGATTGGTCATATGTAGGTAAGTAGATGATGTTTAATATGGTCCTTTAACTGATTTACCTAATTGGTCATATGTAGGTAAGTAGGTGATGTTTAATATGGTCCTTTAACAGATTTACCTGATTGGTCATATGTAGGTAAGTAGATGATGTTTAATATGATCCTTTAACAGATTTACCTGATTGGTCATATGTAGGTAAGTAGATGATGTTTAATATGGTCCTTTAACAGATTTACCTGATTGGTCATATGTAGGTAAGTAGATGATGTTTAATATGATCCTTTAACAGATTTACTTGATTGGTCATATGTAGGTAAGTAGATGATGTTTAATATGGTCCTTTAACAGATTTACCTGATTGGTCATATGTAGGTAAGTAGATGATGTTTAATATGGTCCTTTAACAGATTTACTTGATTGGTAATATGTAGGTAAGTAGGTGATGTTTAATATGGTCCTTTAACAGATTTACCTGATTTGTCATATGTAGGTAAGTAGATGATGTTTAATATGGTCCTTTAACAGATTTACCCGATTGGTCATATGTAGGTAAGTAGGTTATGTTTAATATGATCCTTTAACAGATTTACTTGATTGGTCATATGTAGGTAAGTAGATGATGTTTAATATGGTCCTTTAACAGATTTACCCGATTGGTCATATGTAGGTAAGTAGGTTATGTTTAATATGATCCTTTAACAGATTTACTTGATTGGTCATATGTAGGTAAGTAGATGATGTTTAATATGGTCCTTTAACAGATTTACCCGATTGGTCATATGTAGGTAAGTAGGTTATGTTTAATATGGTCCTTTAACAGATTTACCTGATTGGTCATATGTAGGTAAGTAGATGATGTTTAATATGGTCCTTTAACAGATTTACCCGATTGGTCATATGTAGGTAAGTAGGTTATGTTTAATATGATCCTTTAACAGATTTACTTGATTGGTCATATGTAGGTAAGTAGATGATGTTTAATATGATCCTTTAACAGATTTACCTGATTGGTCATATGTAGGTAAGTAGATGATGTTTAATATGATCCTTTAACAGATTTACTTGATTGGTCATATGTAGGTAAGTAGATGATGTTTAATATGGTCCTTTAACAGATTTACCTGATTGGTCATATGTAGGTAAGTAGATGATGTTTAATATGATCCTTTAACAGATTTACCTGATTGGTCATATGTAGGTAAGTAGATGATGTTTAATATGGTCCTTTAACTGATTTACCTAATTGGTCATATGTAGGTAAGTAGGTGATGTTTAATATGGTCCTTTAACAGATTTACCTGATTGGTCATATGTAGGTAAGTAGATGATGTTTAATATGATCCTTTAACAGATTTACTTGATTGGTCATATGTAGGTAAGTAGATGATGTTTAATATGGTCCTTTAACAGATTTACCTGATTGGTCATATGTAGGTAAGTAGATGATGTTTAATATGATCCTTTAACAGATTTACTTGATTGGTCATATGTAGGTAAGTAGATGATGTTTAATATGGTCCTTTAACTGACTTACCTAATTGGTCATATGTAGGTAAGTAGATGATGTTTAATATGGTCCTTTAACAGATTTACCTGATTGGTCATATGTAGGTAAGTAGATGATGTTTAATATGATCCTTTAACAGATTTACTTGATTGGTCATATGTAGGTAAGTAGATGATGTTTAATATGGTCCTTTAACTGATTTACCTAATTGGTCATATGTAGGTAAGTAGGTGATGTTTAATATGGTCCTTTAACAGATTTACCTGATTGGTCATATGTAGGTAAGTAGATGATGTTTAATATGATCCTTTAACAGATTTACCTGATTGGTCATATGTAGGTAAGTAGATGATGTTTAATATGGTCCTTTAACAGATTTACCTGATTGGTCATATGTAGGTAAGTAGATGATGTTTAATATGATCCTTTAACAGATTTACTTGATTGGTCATATGTAGGTAAGTAGATGATGTTTAATATGGTCCTTTAACAGATTTACCTGATTGGTCATATGTAGGTAAGTAGATGATGTTTAATATGGTCCTTTAACAGATTTACTTGATTGGTAATATGTAGGTAAGTAGGTGATGTTTAATATGGTCCTTTAACAGATTTACCTGATTTGTCATATGTAGGTAAGTAGATGATGTTTAATATGGTCCTTTAACAGATTTACCCGATTGGTCATATGTAGGTAAGTAGGTTATGTTTAATATGATCCTTTAACAGATTTACTTGATTGGTCATATGTAGGTAAGTAGATGATGTTTAATATGGTCCTTTAACAGATTTACCCGATTGGTCATATGTAGGTAAGTAGGTTATGTTTAATATGATCCTTTAACAGATTTACTTGATTGGTCATATGTAGGTAAGTAGATGATGTTTAATATGGTCCTTTAACAGATTTACCTGATTGGTCATATGTAGGTAAGTAGGTTATGTTTAATATGGTCCTTTAACAGATTTACCTGATTGGTCATATGTAGGTAAGTAGATGATGTTTAATATGGTCCTTTAACTGATTTACCTAATTGGTCATATGTAGGTAAGTAGGTGATGTTTAATATGGTCCTTTAACAGATTTACCTGATTGGTCATATGTAGGTAAGTAGATGATGTTTAATATGATCCTTTAACAGATTTACCTGATTGGTCATATGTAGGTAAGTAGATGATGTTTAATATGGTCCTTTAACAGATTTACCTGATTGGTCATATGTAGGTAAGTAGATGATGTTTAATATGATCCTTTAACAGATTTACTTGATTGGTCATATGTAGGTAAGTAGATGATGTTTAATATGGTCCTTTAACAGATTTACCTGATTGGTCATATGTAGGTAAGTAGATGATGTTTAATATGGTCCTTTAACAGATTTACTTGATTGGTAATATGTAGGTAAGTAGGTGATGTTTAATATGGTCCTTTAACAGATTTACCTGATTTGTCATATGTAGGTAAGTAGATGATGTTTAATATGGTCCTTTAACAGATTTACCCGATTGGTCATATGTAGGTAAGTAGGTTATGTTTAATATGATCCTTTAACAGATTTACTTGATTGGTCATATGTAGGTAAGTAGATGATGTTTAATATGGTCCTTTAACAGATTTACCCGATTGGTCATATGTAGGTAAGTAGGTTATGTTTAATATGATCCTTTAACAGATTTACTTGATTGGTCATATGTAGGTAAGTAGATGATGTTTAATATGGTCCTTTAACAGATTTACCCGATTGGTCATATGTAGGTAAGTAGGTTATGTTTAATATGGTCCTTTAACAGATTTACCTGATTGGTCATATGTAGGTAAGTAGATGATGTTTAATATGGTCCTTTAACAGATTTACCCGATTGGTCATATGTAGGTAAGTAGGTTATGTTTAATATGATCCTTTAACAGATTTACTTGATTGGTCATATGTAGGTAAGTAGATGATGTTTAATATGATCCTTTAACAGATTTACTTGATTGGTCATATGTAGGTAAGTAGGTTATGTTTAATATGATCCTTTAACAGATTTACTTGATTGGTCATATGTAGGTAAGTAGATGATGTTTAATATGGTCCTTTAACAGATTTACTTGATTGGTCATATGTAGGTAAGTAGATGATGTTTAATATGGTCCTTTAACAGATTTACCTGTTTGGTCATATGTAGGTAAGTAGGTGATGTTTAATATGGTCCTTTAACAGATTTACTTGATTGATCATATGTAGGTAAGTAGATGATGTTTAATATGGTCCTTTAACAGATTTACCTGATTGGTCATATGCCAGTAAATAGGTTATGTTTAATATGATCCTTTAACAGATTTACCTGTTTGGTCATATGTAGGTAAGTAGATGATGTTTAATATGATCCTTTAACATAAATTGTCTTATTGATCCAATGAAAATGTCAGAAAATTTTATTAAAATTTTCAAAATCTTCAAAGTTCCCCTGCTTATACAGTAAACCATAAATGGAATATTGTTTCCTTATCAAATACGTTTCACAGCATAACTTTATTATTACTCTTTGGACACCCTGTAATTGATCTCTTAATTTTTCAGATGGTCGTCCAGCTCCTTTAAATAGAGGGCAAGTGAGGAGAATCGAAGAAAGGAAACAATTAGCTGTAAGTATTACTGTATTCTCTGTAACTGGTGGGGCATTTAGAAAATTGAAAAAATATCCTTCAGACCATTCCAGTAAGCGCCCATATAGTGTAAGAAGCCAAAAATCCCATTCCTCCTTTAACCTTGATTTTGTTACAAACTTCCTTTTTTTAAAATATTCTCATTTTTCATTTCAGGAACAAATTCGGGAGGGAATAAGCGACCTACAATTCGCTATAGCCAATCATGAGTATCGGACAAAGAAACAACAAGATGAAAGACAAGCAATAAAAGACAGTAAATTCAAACCTAAAAGACGATCAAACAAAAATACAAGGACTTGATGGTGAAATTAACTGTAAATCCTGAAATTAAATGTAAATGCTGATATATTTTAATCATTGAAATAATAAGCTCTCATTAAATATACCCAAAAAGTGGTGACGTATTGTTATGGTCTCCATTTTTTGTGACAATCATAGAAGGGCATATTACCCCCTATCACACCAAACTAGTTCTCAACTGTTCTTTCCAGTCCTACGAAAAATTCGTGAGACGAGCTAAATCTGGCTATGGTCGGGAAATATGTCTAAATTAATTAGTTACTTCGTTCATAAACAGTCTTCACTACGTCCATCTCATTCGCAGTTCGTTCAGATCGCACCATGTCGGTGTGCACACGTATTGCAATCGATATCCGATTGCACAACGTTGTATAACGCGTCCCTAGTAGGGTTGAAGTACGGAAATTACGTTCCTGGTCTAAAAGGTCATCTCGTTTGAAGTACGTTGTCACACGATCTGATTACAGAACGGTATGGTCGCCATCGTTTCAAAATTCTAAAATCATCTTCCTGTCTAAGAACGTTCATGAAGTTTGAAACCCTACTATCACACCAAACTAGTTCTCAGTCTCACTACGTTCTCGAAAACGGGCTTAAACTGTGTATGAACGGACTGGACGTACATAAAACCGTTTAGGGTCTATTTACAAACTTCACCGAACGTACTCGAACGGGTAGGTCCTCTAGAACTCAGAACATGTTCAAAATGTTCTCTTGCTCGTCACGTTCTACCATTAGAACGGGTGACTAGGGACGTTTTTACGAGTTAAACTGTCTGAGGACGAATTGAGAACGAGGTAGAACTAATTGCAAACGGGTTAAAACTGATTAAGAACGTATTTATCAACGAGTTAGCAAAAATATAGCTATCATGCCAAGCAAATTCCCACTGCGTTCTTCAAAACGTAGCTACAACGTTCTACGGTCTGTTTACGAATTTCATGGACGTTCACGGACGGGGAATGTGTTTTAGAATTTTGAATCCATTCAAAATTCGATGGTGACCATACCGTTCTGTAATCAGGTCATGATGACCTTCTAGCCAAGGGATGCGTTATACGACGTTGCACACCGACGTGGTGCGACCTGAACGAACTGCGATTGAGATGGACGTATTGAAGACTGTTTATGAACAAAGTAGCTAAATATTTAAGACATATTTCCTGACCACAGCCAGATTGAGCCCGTTTTACGACGTTTTCGTAGGACTGGCAAGAACGGGTAAAAACTAGTTTGGTGTGATAGGGGGGTAAATAGACCTTAGAAAGTAGCATCTACGTTCATTCCATTCGTACATAGTTTAAAACAAGTTTTGAAGAACGCAGAGAAACTTGTTTGGTTTGTGACGTTGTTAATTATAGAACGTTACGACCACGAGAACATTTTGAGCATGTTCTAAGTTTTAGAGGACCTACCCGTTCGAGTACGTTCGATGAAGTTTGTAAATAGACCCCAAACGGTTTTAAGTACGTCCAGTCCGTTCGTACACAGTTGAAGTCCGTTTTCGAGAACGTAGTGAGAACTAGTTTGGTGTGATAGTAGGGTTAGAAAGCTTCTCCAATTTCCAATGTTTAGAAAATCAAATAAGTCCCATCCCGTATACTAGATAGTATGTAAAAGCTGTCATTCAAAACCTTTCTGCTATGTTCTATTTTGATTAAAAAGAGATGAGAGGGATTTTCAAACTAGCCTGCCGTGTGATTAATTAAAGAACCCAGAGAATAAGATTCTGTATCAGAATGCTGGTACCAGGCCACCCTAGTAGCCCACTCAAAGTAGCATAATATTACATCTACCATTAGGTTACTTGAAATTGTTGATAATGAGTACAGCACAATCTTAAAAAAGTTTCACATATCACATTCTTAATCTAATTGTATTGAGTAAGACTGCAATATAAACCAATATGGTTTAAACTTCATACGAGGCCTTTGAAATTTAATTTTTTCAGGGACTGAATAATCCCTAAAATTACATGAAACTACAAGTACATGATTTACAAGTTTTACTTACTATTGTACAAGATTTTCACTCTAACCAAAAATTTCTAAGGGCTTTTGTTAAAGAGATAATCAGATCTAGCAAGGAGGCCAACAAAAATTTGTTTCAATTTTAGAATATTTCTGGCTCATGTCATTCCTTGTCATGTCTATTTTCTAAAAATCCCCAAAGTGCACATTTTATTTCCGGAAAACTAAAGATTTTTACAATAATGCATTATTTTTCTATAAGAATGGTATTATTTGTCAGAATTAAAACATTTTCACCCATTTTTGCACTTTGAATTCATAATAACTTCACTTATTTATAACATATCGTGAATCTTTTTAGAGATATTGTATTTGAGATTGTAAGGAATAGATTGATGGGTCAATTGCACTGGCGTAGCTAGGAATTCTCAAGGGGGGGTGCATGAGGCAAATTTTTCAGATTAATGAGGCAAATTTTTTTCTTTCAATGAGGCAAAAAAATCGGAAAGCGGCAAAAAGTGTCAATGGGACAAAATCTACTCACACATCATGTATAGTGCATAAAGTAACATTCACATCATCTAGATTACTAATATTTCAAACTGTTTTATTTATTAGCCATATCAGATATCACATTGTGATTAACCATTGTGAATAACCATCAAAAACATGACTTAGATATGGTTTATTTGGACATGTTATACTCTTTTGAACAGCCATAATAATCAAAACTTGTCCCAATAAAAAAACATTTTAAATATAATAATATTCTGTTTAATGACTGACTAAACAAGATCTTTGGTATCATGGCATTGCAACACAACTTTTAATAAAAACATAAATACCTTTAAATAATAAGGAATGAAAAGGTAATCTTATATATCATGACAATGCAGTAAAATACTGAATATTGGCAACTCTTTTTAACCTCTTTATAATTCTTTAAATGGACCTAACAATGAGTCTTAATCAAAACAAAATTGTATAGATACCATTACAAGGCTATGTACTCTGTAACAGTAAGTCTCTCTGATTTGGCATCCCATACTCTGTTACAGTAAGTCTCACTGATTTGGCACCCCATGGCACCATTGCAATATTATTAAAGATTACATTTCACAAAAAAGCATTTTAAAAGGAAAGGATCAAGATCTTAAATATCATTTTACAAGGAAATGACATTTTAAATATCATGACAATTTAATGCAATGCAGTATATGTACAACCTTTAAATACTGAAAATTCCTTTAATTTGACATCAACTTGAAGATGTTCAATTCAGCCTTATATAGCTTTTAGATTACAACAAACAAAAAGTCATGCTACATATAACTAATGAATTGACTGGTGATATATCAGTCAATGCTAGGACATATTTCTTACTAATATTTTGACAAAACAGTTGACAAAGTTTTCTACAGATATTTTCACTTACAATCTATAACTTGTTACATGTATTGTATGTAAGTAAATAGCCTCTGTTCACAATACCATATTACGAGATCCAGAGCTTTCATTAAGAAGTGATAATATGTCTTGTGTACTTGATAAATGTTTTTTATGGCATTGGACGTGATGTTTGGTATGGTATCACTCACTATCTATCTTTTTAGTATGATTATTATTAGGTAGTTACGTACATGTAGAAGTACATTTCGACATATTCCCTAAACATACATGGGGTGATAACTTATAGACTTACCCTCCACAGATGATTCATTGATTGGTATTGCACATTACTTTTGGTATGGGATCCTACTGATATTTATGTATTTGTACGGGTATGGACCTATATCCTCTTGGTACGGGGTTGGGGCATGTGAACGATTTGATATCAAAAGGCCACGAAGCCTCGCCAATGCTCAATGGGAATACAACATTGTAACATTCAATGAGAATGATATTATGATCCTGGCAAACGCCTTCAAATGCTGACGCACTTGCCCAGCCTTTATGAGATCCCGGGAATATGATTTGTATATAGATAATCTATATCAAATACAGGAGAGTTCAGCACATGACGAAAGGAAAAAAAAGTGAAATAGGCTTCAAAGAATCAGGTGTGTTGGTTCCATACCTATAGAGACACAACTCTGGCGAATATTTTAATAAGTGGCAGTTGTAAAAATACACAATCTATATCGTGAAAAGTGAAATTCAGGAATGGGGGAAATATATTTAAGAGAAAGGGGTGTCAGCTTAGCAGACAACTTTTGAGTGGTTGGCTCCTTCCATATAAATACGCAAAATATGCGAAGCATGTTTATTTAAATGTATCTTGTTAAAAATGGGTATATGCATCGTGATTATTCATCAACAGAAAAGAGGAGAGAATTTTTTACGAATCCTTCCACCCCCACACTTATAATGGACACGACCATGCTAACACAGCAATATTCTTCTCAAAAAACTTGAAAATTAATCGTCTTGTTCCTACTGTTCTGGTTTTTATTTTTCAGTATTTTTACGCTCAAAAAGTAACTATTACTTACATTCATCACCTCTACAAATCATCCTCTCACAACTAATCCAAATTATATCGTAATCTGTAGAATTCAATTGGAGCATTTACAGAAGATTTGTGCTCAGGCTGTGCTTTTCGTTCAGTGTTGAAGGCGGGATAAAATTTCTTGCGCAAATTTGAAAAGGTTGCGCAATACACTATCATGGTCAAATTTATTCGCGCAGTGCTACAACCGGAAGTTTATGAGAACGAAACATTCTTTCTCTCATTTTTAATAGATCTTGGGTATTAATCAGAGTGACATTCCAGGTTCTCGTATGGAAAGTGGCGTCAAAGCCATGGAGAAAGTGCTACAAGTGACTTGAGGCAAAATATTCACGTTTTTTCTGAGGCAAATAAAAAAAAATTGACGAGTCAAATTTTGTAAAAAGCGACGAGGCAAAACTCAAGGGGGGGGGTGCAAGCGCACCCGACGCGACCCCCTGGCGACGGCCTTGAATTGTACATATTGCTTGTAATTTTCTCAACCCTATAAATCTGATTCTGCCTTTAAGCTTAAATGTCCTGTTTAAGCTGTTAAGAAACCATATTCTTACTTTTGTAAATGGATTCTAGAAATACCATCCCTAGTGAATTTACTTGTTGAAATTCGATCAACTTGAGTTTTTCCGAGAAAATGAGGATTGTGTATTTCATCCCCATTGTAACATACATGATGGTATCCCGATATTCTGATACTCAGAGCATCTTTCTGTTTACCTGAAACATCTCAGGGCCGAGAAGAAATAGGATAGCATGGTTTATCATGATGGTATCCCGATGCTAAGTCAAGAATCAACCCATGTTGAGTCAATGCACTCTTGCTGAAATCTTCAACTCTAGTTGATAAGTCTCAACAGGTGGATTCATATTGAATAGTATCCATTTTCAATAGTAAGAATAGAGTGTCTAAAATAGGACATCGTGCTTGCTTTTTAGAGCTTTTTGTGTTGTTGGTCCTAAATATTTCAAAAATGACCTCCCTAATTAGCCAATATAAATGATGAGTCTCAACAGGTGGATTCCTATTGAATAGTATCGTTAGAATCCATTTTCAATAGTAAGGATATGGGTTTTGAAACCGGACATTGGGCTTGCTTTTTATAACTTTTGTTTGTACTAAAAGGGTTTTTATTTTAGTTTCATGTATTTGTATATGTATAGGTTGGCATTTCTTTTTTATATGTATTTCTTTAAGTCTCCATTAACTAAACCACTGAACCTATTGATATTAAAAAAATTGTTGAAGTCGGGTTAATAGCTTAGTGAATTGCTTTAAAAAGGCATTTGAATTGGACGGTCGACGGGGTTATAGGCTATTTACCCGACAAGGTAAAGCGATTCATGTTTTTTTCTATCTTCACTATATGAATAAACTGATTTATAAATTATGTGTTACCTGTAGATTACATTTTTCACATTTAAAAGAACACTGGACAAATCAGTAGACACTAGCAATCGTATCATGGTTTTCAATATCTATATTATGGGGAGGGGGGGGGGCATTAAAACATCTTGTAGCCTGTTTTCAAGAGATTTGAACAAGGAGGATTGATTGAAAAACTCCAAAACTCACAAGAAATGATCGAGATATTGGTTCGAATCTTTTGGACTGATTATTTTGAATTTATAGTCGGTTTTAATTTCAGAAAATAACGACGTTTTCATTATTGGAAAATTTTGACTTCGATCCTGGGAGCAAATCCCCCTTGATTTGAATATTAACGTGATTCATCCGATTAAGCTGGTAACCAAAACAATTCAATTCAGAATTCCGACGGCATTTTTATAAAAAAATTGTGTAAATATCATGTGTTTAAGAAAATGTGCATTTTGCCAAAGTTCTTCGAGAGACAATCTAAATAGAATCGTCGATTAAATACCTCACTTTTGCTACGTATACGGAACGGGTGAAATTAGAAGTGCGCGTCTTAACCGTAAATTGAAGTTCCGTTTACGTAACAAAAGGGAGGTTTAAATCGACGATTGTGTTGTCTTCTGAACTATGTTTACGCAAATATGTGCATTTTCCTAAACATATAAAGCTGATACACGTTTGTGATAAAAATGACGTGGAAATTCCCTTGGGCTGAAATTTTGTAGGGCCTCGTCAAATGGGCCTTTTTGGACATAATATTTGTAGGCCCTAAATATATTTGCAGATTTTTAACACCTAGACTGAGAGGAAGGAAATATCGTATTGACATGGGCTATATCGGCCTTAGGCCACGGAAAATAAAGATTCACATGAAAAACGTACGTTAGTTAGAGTAATGATATCAATGTGAGGAAGGAAATTAAGACCATTTTGAAAGGAACTCAAATTAACAATATCTCGAAAACAATGCTACTATTAAAAAGTCCAATACATCGCAAATGCCTTTCTTTGGCAGTGGGAATACTTGCGTGGTTCACCGGAGGAAATTTATTTGGATTCAACGCATATGCGATCGCTCTGAAACAGACGTTCAACTATACTCAGACTGAACTGGACTATATAGCGTCAAGTGGGGATTTGGGAATACTTTTAACATTCCCAGCAGGGCTTATGGTAGACAACTTTGGACCAAGAGTGACATGTACAGTGTCACTTATTCTTACGACGATGGGATTTGCGCTGATGTGGATAGCAACACAGTTTAAAATATTCTTCGCAACGAAAAGCTGGCTTCTTTGTGTATTTTATTTTCTGGCATCGGGTGGAAACTTTTTCATAATCATAACAGCAAAGGTCGTCAATTGTAGGATCTTTGAAAGAAAACATTTAGGGAAAGTTCTCGGATTATGTGGAACCATATACGGCATAAGCCCTGCAATATTCAGCGCCATCTATGAGGGATTATTTGTACAGGGGCACATTGAAGATGCAGAGAATCAAAAGCTTGCAGAGTTCTTCATTATGCTAACAATATTATCGTTTTGCACTAGCCTATCTGCTGCCATCGTGCTAGAAATAGAATCGGAAGAAAAAGGTGAATCTAGTGAGGTTGAGCTGGCAAGTACCAAACAAAAGGTGGTTGAAACGAATGATTCAAAGGATGAGAGAGAAAGTGATTGTCAAATAAACAATAACAAGGAAGCGACTGACAAAACTGAACTAATTCCACCGAAGAAAACAAACCGGTTACCCCCACCGGATATGACGTGTCTGCAAATTATTAAAACAGTCCAATTTTATTACATTTTTATAATTAGCGGAATAATCGGGGGAGTTGGGGGGACTTTTACAAATAATATCACAACAGTAGTGAAATCTGCGCGCCTTGAGAGATATGCCGTTATTTTCACCGTTGTTATACCAATAAGTGCATCATTTGGTCGATTTTTTGGTGGATTGATACCAGATTTATTATTTCAGAATTGGCCAGACGTTCCGAGAACATCAATTTTGTTATTTTCTGGATTCTGTTCCTGTATTGGCCAAGTAACTTTCTCAATTTTCAATCAGAGATTAAGTGGTTTAATTTGCTCCTCTATGATCATGGCGATAGCCTATGGCTCTTTTTACCCACAAAATGATATAATTGTTGTGGAAATTTTTGGTCTTAAATATTTTGGACAAAATTGCGGTCTCTTAGCAATAAGTCGTGGATTTGGAATACTTATTTTCCAAAAACTTTTTGCTTTCTTTTACGAAACATATAGCCCACCAGGATCAAAGTACTGTTATGGAGAAAACTGTTCTCGGTGGTATTTTGTTCTGATGGTAATAGTATGTTCTTGTGTAGTTTTTCTCATTTTCTGCCTTGTTAAAATTGAAAAAGATCAACAGCAACAACAACAAGAAACAAAAAATACCACTTAACTGTCGGCTACCGGTTTAATATAAATGAGTTGAAATAGTATAGAAGGTTAATCTGGTAGCCGGGGGTCGTTAGTTGCATTCCCGAATACAAGTTGCAGAGCACTTCTTCAAACAGTTGGTAATCTAATGATACCTTTCAGAGAAAACGTCCAACGTTTGTTTTTTATTTTAACATTCTTATTAACTGAGAGATCTCTTAGGAGATCAAGAACTGCATAAATTAGAACGACTTGACCAAAATAATACAAAATGTAAGGCGATGTAATAATGTTTTATCAAACACTTGCAATATATAAACATTTTATGTGTATCGCCCTCGGGCAGATATATATATTATATTGGCCTCGGGATAATCCCAATATCCTCAACCTAGTATAGGATAATCTCTATATATACATTCCCTTCCATAAGTTATATATATGTTTATATACACTCCTCTCAATAAGTTTGGCAACCAAAGGTCCCCTGGTGGTGTTTTGACTTTAAAAAAATCAACAACTATTACTTTTGTAATAAAGGAAAAAATCAAAATTCAAACGTTGACAGTTTTAGATGCGCTATCCAATGGAAGTTCCCAGTTGCTAAACCTATGGAGTATGGAAAGGAGTGTATCTATATTTTTGATATTTCTTGTATTACTAATATCAAATACCAATCAAGCAGTACCTGCTGTATGGATTATTCAAAAACTATTATTTCTATCAGTTATTCTTATCTTATTCTTGTTTCTCGGCCAATACTGACATATAATGTCTGTTTGGTCTTTCAGTGTCTCGTTAATACGTAGAGCATTTCGATAGAGGGTCCTAAAACTAGTTGTATAATAAGTTAAAAGGTGATAGTACTTTGGTGATTTGTTGGTAGTTGTCGTTCCCGTTTTCATTTCAGCTGACCTTTTTATTCTTCATTCAGTGCCATATCTCTTCCTGAAAAAATAAGGCGGATACATTTTATAGTATTAGCTTGGAATAACATTCACTCATATCTCATATCATAAATAGACCCGTCGGAGCGTTTCCAGGCCTCCTAGACTTCCATCAGCGAGGCCTCTATATAAAAGTATAAACATCAATACCCACCGGCGGGTCGATATCCAGAAACTAGAAGGGGGGCAAGTTTCGACTCAGCAAAAAACTTTCCGCGTAAAAAAATTTGAATTTTAATATTTACCTGCGAGGAAAATACATATATTCTATGTGAATATTTTGTCATATGACTTGCGGCAAACCTACCATTTCGCATTGGTTTACATGGGAATGTCGATTTTCAAAAATTCATCAAAATTTTCAATTTCTACCTATTGTAATTGAGAAAATGAATTGGAAATTTGGAGGCATTGGAAATGAAGTCAAGTAACATTTCCATCAATACTATAAGTATTTTCCTCGCAGATTATATAAATAAAAATTCAAACATAAAGAGGCTTCAACACATATAGTTCAATGAGAGAGCTAAGTTTGCCAAACTTTTGGAGGGGAGTGTAACTTCCTTCAAAACTTAATCAGAAGCTTCAAATGAAAATAATTTTAAAGCTATCTTCCTCTATCTAATGGTTTTTTAAATTTCTATTGGTTATGGGGGGGGGGGGGTCGCAGTCGCAACCATTGTACTAGCGCCTATGTGCCTATGTCATGTATAATTTTTCCATTTCAATACTGTAGCCTGTATCTTTTCAAAGGAATACAGGCTACAGGGAAGTTGCAAATGGAGGAGGTTTGTTTATTTCCATATTTCTGAAGGTATACTTAATTTTACATATTCTACTATACATTGTATAGATTCGTTGAGTTTCCATTGTATAAGTTATTAATTACCACAAAAGCCCCATAGACACAAACAGAGAATACCCGCTAAATTTGCGATGTTAGCCCCACTGAACCCTGTATGGCTTACAGACGGTAACCGGACAACTCATCCCCTAGACAACTCATCCCTGGACAACTCATCCCCTAGACAAGTCATCCCCTGGACAAGTCATCCCCTAGACAAGTCATCCCCTGGACAAGTCATCCCCTGGACAACTCATCCCCTAGACAGCTCATCCCCTGGACAAGTCATCCCCTGGACAACTCATCCCCTAGACAGCTCATCCCCTGGACAACTCATCCCCTGGACGACTAATCTTTTGGCATGTTTGAGTATAGTAATTTAATATTATATTACCAATTCAAAGGTTTAAATGTATTGGTTGTGGATATGGTCAGCTTTAAGTTTCAAAAAACATATATTACATGAACACTGTTACTCCACTCAATTACGCTGTCGATCCGTTTGGGTAACAAAATGTTGGAGCCTCGAAGGTATATACGATTTTTCTTTTTTTCCTTATTTCACGAGTTGTAGGCTGAATTCCCATGACATTCTATGTCTGGCTTTTGAAACTTTATGTAAACAGAACTTCTAAAACGGTTAAGATCTGCACTTCTAACCCGTTCCGTTTATGCATGGGCTTTCAATTAGATATGGTTCATGTAACAATAGTGAGGTATTAAATCAACAATTCTGTTGTCTTCTGTACTATTTGTTTGCAAACATGTACATTTTCTTAAACATATGCTACCGACAAACGTTTGTGATAAAAATGTCGTGGGAATTCTGCCTGCAACACCGGAATTAGGTAAAAATCAAAATCGATCGTTTCTTTGAGGTTCCGACATTTTGTTACGATCCATTTCAGTAACCAGCATAATCTATTGGAGTACCAGTCAGTGATTAACAAAAACTTTCTGGAGGGGAAAATTGCTAAAAAACAAAGACATAATCAACCAATTAATCTGTGATTTGCTTTGTAAATATTTACTTTTCGTTTCGATATGATATTAATTAACCAGAGACATATAAAACATTATATGTCTCTGTATTAACATTGATTGAACAAGTTCATTTGATGTTATAATATGTTTGTTGTTCATAGCTCAAATATTCTTTAATCCAAAGATTATTTTTTCACAGCATTCACAGATGAAGTTAATGAAGTTAATGTTTAAGTTATACACAAAGATAACTTTATTTGTTTGGTCAGGAAATATTGAGTCATGTAATATAAGAAGAAGAGATGAGAGTTTTAATGACATCGTTTGACTGTTTATTTGTGTCAGTAAAGTGAAAAATAATATTTTGAATGATCTAAGATGTATTTACTAAGCATTTCTTTTCAAGACACACTTTACAATTTAGCTTCATGTGATGAAGGATGAGTTGTCCAGGGGATGAGTTGTCCAGGGGATGAGTTGTCCAGGGGATGAGTTGTCTAGGGATGAGTTGTCCAGGGGATGAGTTGTCTAGGGGATGAGATGTCTAGGGGATGAGTTGTCTAGGGGATGAGATGTCCAGGGATGAGTTGTCTAGGGGATGAGTTGTCCGTAAGCCCTTACAGACAACTCATCCCTAGACAACTCATCCCTGGACAACTCATCCCTTGGACATCTCATCCCCTGGACATCTTATCCCCTAGACAACTCATCCCCTGGACAACTCATTCCCTAGACAACTCATCCCCTAGACAACTCATCCCTAGACAACTCATCCCCTGGACAACTCATCCCCTAGACAACTCATCCTTTATCACATGAAGCCAAATTGTTAAGTTTTTTGGATAATAAATATTAATCAAATACACCTTAAATCATTCTAAATATTATTTTTGACTTTATTGATACAAATAAAATGGTCAAACGGTGCCATTAAAACTTTCATATTTTGTCCTTGTATTACATGACAAAAAAATAAAGTTTTCTCTCTGCATAATTTTGAAACATGAACTTCAGTAACTTCATCTGTGACTGCTGTGAAAAAATTATCTTTGGATTAAAGAATATTTGAAGTTCTGTTTACGTAACAAAGGTGAGGTATTACCGTAAATCGGGGATCGTGTTAATCTACTTAAATTATATATTGAATTAATAATATTACATTTAATTACTCAAACATGCCAAAGGATGAGTTGTCCAGGGGATGAGTTGTCTAGGGGATGAGCTGTCCATGGGATGCGTTGTCCAGGGATGAGTTGTCCAGGGATGAGTTGTCCAGGGGATGAGTTGTCCGGTTACCCTACAGTATGGGGGTAGGGTAGGGTAGCGTGTTGTAGCTGTTACTTTAAGAAATAGTTCAAATAATCATAATGCTCTTTGTGTTTTTTTTGAATGACGATGACAAGAAACACCAACATTATCATTAATAAGTAATTAACATTAGTAATATTAATTACTACAAGTAGTTTATTTCTATACTCTTTGCTAGCGCATGATGATACCATTAATGAAACCATTGGTGATTATTTCACAAGAGTTCATAATATAACCAAAGAGCTATTAAACAAAATTGACGTTAAATCATTTTATAAAATCAGACTGTTATTAATGTCTTGCCATGCATTTACATGAACAGGCCCGTAGCCACAATTTGCCAAGGGGGGCGGGGGTTAACTTTTCGAAAAATTCCAGGGGGCTCACTTGTGACGCTTTGGTCCAAAAATGGCAAAATCACTAAAAAAGATTTTGTTGGCCAGGGGGGGGGGGGGGGGGGGGTTCGCTAGAACCCATCGAACCCCCCCCCCCCCTTTCTACGGGCCTGGATGTTTTCTTTGTTATTTGCTTTATTGGACTTATATCTCGTTGATGTACCTTAAATGGGTTAAAGAGACCAATAAATGTATTAATTAATTAGTTAATTAATAGTGATCAACATACCTGCCCGGAGTGTACTGTTTAGCCGAGCCTCATTATTTGCACGTCTAAGTGGCATACATACAGGGCAATCTGGCCTCACACAATTTCTCCAATGTGAAATAATGTGTCTTGATGATGCACAATGGGGTACTGAAATAATACATACGTAGTGAAATAGGAGACCAACCTTAAATTTTACTTTTCCAAATACTATATATAATATTGGGAATCCAAGTATTGGGAAATGAAGTACACCTTTGTGTTTACATTTGCACAGGGAACTCACAAAATGTTGAAGGCCTCCTCATAGAACGAATCCAATAAACGCAGCCTAGCGAATTTACTGGAGATGAACGGGAAACGAGGGAGGTTTCGCCTCGTATCAAAATCTTTTTTTGATGGACAAAATATCTAAAACATGTACAGTATGCTTCCGTGTTTCAGCCATCTTGGAAAATTTTTGAGAAGCTCGATCACTGTCTCATTAACTCTATATATAGAATGAACATAAGTGGACAATGTTTTACCTTGACAATCCTTGCCAGCCGTGCATGTTGTCATATGGTTCAACACATTCTTCATGGTTCGGCAGTGTGGGAGACCACATGCTCTTATTTCACCATTCTGCTCACGACGTTGGCACTTGTGTGCATGTAAGAGAAGAACAAGCTGTTGCTGTATGAGCTTACGCTTCTCTGGGTCTGCTGTTGGAGGGTGGTTGCCAGAGGTTGGAGTAGTAGGCATATTTACGAGGCAGCCTAACTATGAGTATGAAATATTCAGTTGATTTCCTGGAGTGACGGACCCAAAATATTGCCTTATAGTAGACCTAAAGTTTATACTTATTTCCGATCCAACTTAATTCAATTTCAACATACAAATATCGCAACTTTTACTTTACGTGTTATAGCAAAGGTCCAACGTTCCCCGTTTCAATTTATGGATTCGAACAAATCTCCTCCTTTTATATTTTCCCTTTTTGCTTTCATTTTAAAAGGGGATTCCCCTAGTCTTCCCATCAGTCTACCGGCACATCTATATGTCAAATCCTACTGCTGAAACGAATTTTACATTTTTGAAAATATTTGTTAAAGATCTTAACAACATTTTTTTACAGTATCACAGTACTGTTGAAACGGAATATTTGGAATGTGTTAATAACGCACATGCGAGTGGGTAGTTTCACTTATCCCATACCCAGGACTATCAGCAGGGGCGGATCTGGGAACCAACAAGGGCAGTGAAGGGGGGGGGGGGGCAAACTTCAGGTCTGAGAAAAAACTTTTTGGGCCCCTTAAACCAAAAACTGGGCCCAAATTTTAAAATTTTGAGGCCCATTTTCTTCAAAATTTGGCCTAAAAATAAAAAATAAGGCCTTGGAAGGCCCATTTATGACCAAAAGGCCCACTTTTTGGGGCCTAAAGGCCTTTTTTGGCTCAAATTTTGGTAATTGGTATTTTAGCATTCTCTTTGTGTACTATTACTTCTACTCGCATCTAGTCTATAAGAATAGTAGTGCATTTTAAAAGATAAATTTGTAAATTGCAGTCTGAGCTTTGAATATAAACATGGCGTCTGAGTTGATTGGGTTGGGCTTGCCGCATAGTATGCCTAACACCCGCACACGGCAGACATGCAGTACAGACAGTCTATTAACAAGTAACAACACTGTTTAACCAGCTAAAATGTTGATGCAATACAAACAAGTACACCGAAGTTCCATGCATCGAACCAAGGACGTCTACTAGGCTTGTCCTTAATTGAACACTCTATCTCCACTCATGCAATCTGGAATCACGTACGTTTGCGTGCTCTAGGCTATCTAAAACATTTTGGATTGTTATGTTGTCTAGTTGTTAACAAGAGATAAGATATATGTGCTTTTCGCCGAACGCTCTCCACCATACTGTTGGAAAAGTGATTACTGAAAGTCCAGCTTCATGTTTAAATGTAATACACCCCTCCATAAGTTTGGCAACAAGAAATCCCCTTAAAGGCTGTTGGTGTTCTGACATAATTCTAGATCAACAAAATGTCTCTAACTTTTACTATTATAAATCAAAATTCAAACGTTCACAGTTTTAGATAATATACACTATCCAATTAAAGTTCCCAGTTGCCAAACCTATGGAGGGGAGTGTACAAATATTTTTGATATTTCTTATATTGTATATCAAATACAAAAGAAGTAGAATCTGCCTAGGTATCTGCTGTATTTGAAGCCCAGCTCCGAGACTCTGTGACCCCCTCTACTAGACCAAACACCTTCTCACACACTCACTCTTGTGCGGAGTTGTTAAGGGGGGAGGGTCACAGGGGCTTGTACCTAGACTACTGTATTGGTTATTCAGAAACTATCATTTTCTTTAATATCAAAGACATTTAATGTGTGCTATTTTAATGTCAACACAATTGGTTATTATGACCATAAGATATATACTGAAAATATTGCTTTTTAACTCTAAAACGGTTAGGCTATAGATCAGTCACTGGAAAACCACATATCTGTCGCCTTGAGATCGGGACGGATATACGTCAGTTTTTAAAATGTATTTTTTTGGTTTTGACTCAAAGGTTAGTGGGAGAGCAGATCGGCCCCCTACGATCTCGGAAACATACAATGGAATAACCTTTCGAATGATACCTAATACACAGTACATAGTTAGGTATCATTGGAAAGGTTATTCAATTCCAAGTAATTTGAGCTTACTTATAACTATAGTCAGCCATTATTCATGAAGTTTTTTTTGTTTCAAGTTAAAAGACTGACAATTTGGGTATTTTACTAACTTTGAACAGCTCTAACTTTCCCTCTACAGGGGTAAGACTTCGATTCACATTTTTTCGGTTAAACATGCCAATTTCAGTTTAAAGAACAGCAAGAAAGTTTCAGCTCAAAAGATATACTACGAAAAAAAGTTATCAAAAAATTCCTTAGGAGACGGTAGATCTACCCCCCTAACCGTTAAAGGGTTATTTTTAAAAACAGCTTTAATGACAATTTTTAGATAAAAATCAAAGTTTGCTTATATTGTATCTATTATAAACTCAGACAACATGACAAATAATGTAGTATTCTTCACAAATAATGTATTGTTGACAAAGAATGTATTGTTGACAAATAATATATTGTTGACAAAGAATGTATTGTTTCTGTGGGATGTGCCAAACAATGGAGGATCCATGAGGTGTCACAGGTGTTTCACCCTGTTGAGAATCCTTAATGCACCCGGTTGAAATTGATACTTGATAACTATAAAACAATATTTAGCCAACTTTAAACATTTTAAGTCAAAATGGCCTTCAAGACTATCAATAGATGGCGAAAAATTCAGTAGTTTTAATAGCATACTTTAACATGTCCATTAAGGTGTCACAGGTGTTACACCCTATTGAGAATCCTTAATGCACCTGGCGGTTGAAATTGTCACTGATGACTATAAAACAATATTTAACCAGCTTTAAACATCTTAAGTCAAAATTAAGTAAGAACTTTTACAAACCTTTGAGATACACACTCCTCTCCATAAGATTTGAATTGGAAGTTTTAATCAGATAGCATAATAAGGATGTTCAGAACAAATGTGATGAATGTTGAGCCTCAGACATGAACATACATGATACATTTCAGAGGTGCATGATTTGTTCCAAAAGGGGAGATCCAATCTTAAAGAATGGAGTGTAGCAATTTATATCAATTTATTAGTGTTTACTTCAGTATTACATGTTTCTTGGTAAAAGCAGAAAAAATAGTTTTTCGAGTTCAGAAAGAGCCTTTGAAAGAATTGATAGCTAAATTACTAGGCAATCAAAAACTGTTTATAGATCCTCTCTTCTTTTTCATTTTTGAACTTGGGTAAAAAATTCACTTTCACAATTTCGGAAAATCCTTCCGCTAAAGTTGGCGGAGTGAATTTCGACTTGTAAGAGTTCATGATCATGTCATTGATTGGTTGATGAGCTGGGTTTGTTATCTTGCGGAAGGCTTCGTTGTGACGCGCCTGTTGTAAGGTTGTGTTGAAGATAAAGCATCTACAGGGAACGCCTGCTTCCTTGGCTACACTGGTGTACCTGGAATATTTTAAAATCAAATATATTGACGTCAATGTTTTATATCATACAGTAAAACCTGTTTAAAGTGAAACACTTCCTTCAGACCCTCACATGATCACCAACTCGATGTATAATAATATCTTTTTTATTAGAAAGTCTGATTTTTAACCCCTACTTCAAAACATTATTGCTTTTTAGAATAATAACACATATCTCTTTTTACTACACAGTGTCAAATTTCATGATTTTATGTTTTAATTACTGTAAAACGTTTTTGATTGACATATAGCAAAATGGGAACAGTGACCTCATTATGATTCACAATGTAGTTTCAATTATGGGAAAGGTTTGTCAAGTAAAGTTAAGTGTTCTTTATATAGATGTCACTTGTAGTAGTAGACAAACCCTGTAAAGGTCATGTGTTGGTCGGATATGTATTAAATAGAGGCATTTACTTTTAACTAATTATTGCCTGTGATAAAGTTTTGTAAAACTCCTAAGACGGCAGGTGTAAAAGGGTAGGAGGTCCAATCAAATTATGGTCCTACTTTCCATTGATTTATATGGTGACCTAAATAAAACTCTCCCTTACTATTGTATCCCTAATCAGGGCCAGAAAGGGCCATTAAGAAAGGGGACCATAATCCCCAGGGGACCATAATTTCTTTCACACCGGTATTATCCGTACCTCTGTCTTGATTCTTGATCTGGGCTAGTGTTGTCTACAGCCACCTTCTGTCCCTGGCTTACAGCCTTTTTGCACGCTTGTACACATTTCTGCCAGCTGCCAAGCTGATCCTGAAGAAACAAGTACAGTGCAATCCGAAAAGTTGAACACTTCTGTGAGGGGAACAGTTTTAAGGCTCCCCTGATCAACTTATATGAATCTCTAAAGTGGAACACATCTTAAAGTGGAGCACATCATAAAGTGATAAAGTGGAGCACATTGTACAGTGCGTAAAGTGGAACACATCGTAATGTGAAACACATTGTAAAATAGAACACATCTTAAAGTGGAACACATCGTAAAGTGGAACACAACTTAAAGTGGAACACATTGTAAAGAGGAACACATCTTAAAGTGAAACACATCGTAAAGTGGAACACAACTTAAAGTGGAACACATTGTAAAGTAGAACACATCTTAAAGTGAAACACATCGTAAAGTGGAACACAACTTAAAGTGGAACACATCGTAAAGTGGAACACATCGTAAAATGGAACACATTTTAAAGTGGAACACATCTTAAAGTGGAACACATCGTAAAATGGAACACATCTTAAGTGGAACACATCGCAGAGTGGAACATAACTTAAAGTGGAACACATCTTAAAGTGGAACACATCTTAGAGGTACCAAAGGTGTTCCATGTACACACGCTTTCGTGTATCCTCTTTCGATTTTGAATCTTTAAAAGAAGCCTCCCTAATCCAAACATCTCGCAATCTGAACTTTAAACTCATTTTTCCATCTCAATTTTTTAACTCACATTGACATTAATAGAAACCCTGAGATGTGAAAATCTGCAAATTGGAACATTTTTTGCTAGTTCCGCAATCTGCAAATTGGAACATTTTTTGCCAGTTCCGCATTCGAATGGGACTGGTTTTATTCCAACTTAATGTTGTTGTGGTGACCAACATATTGAACACTAAGTCTTTAGCATTGTACATTTTTCTTTCCATTTTTAAAGTTTAACTAATACTAAGAAGTGGGTCATCTATGTATTCAGATTTCCTCACCCTGTTGACATGGAGATACCCAGCAGGCTTCAGATACGTCTCAGTGAAGAATGTTTTTCCAGAAGCAGGGAATCCAACTAGTACAATAATCTCCTGTCCCTCAGACACTATCTTGGCTCCTGCTGGAGTTGTCAATGGACCACTGCTGTCAACACTACCCTGGATAATAAAGATGAGCATACAGACATGAAACATACAGACATTTGAAACATACAGACATATGAAACATACTTGTAGGAGGCATATGAAATATTGAAATGTGTGTTTGCACTGTTTTCTGCTGCATATTTTAGCTGTATTTTGAATGAATCTTTGCTTCAAACATACTTACAGGGTTAAATTCAGGCATATTAAAAGGTACTTTGCTCCAACCATACTAACAGGGTTAAATTCAGGCATATTAAAAGGTGCTTTGCTCCAACCATACTTACAGGGTTAAATTCAGGCATATTAAAAGGTGCTTTGCTCCAACCATACTTACAGGGTTAAATTCAGGCATATTAAAAGGTGCTTTACTCCAACCATACTTACAGGGTTAAATTCAGGCATATTAAAAGGTGCTTTGCTCCAACCATACTTACAGGGTTAAATTCAATTATGCTAAAAGATGATTGCTCCAACCATACTTACAGGGTTAAATTCAGGCATATTAAAAGGTGCTTTGCTTCAACCATACTTACAGGGTTAAATTCAGGCATGTTAAAAGGTGCTTTGCTCCAGCCCTGAAAAAACTCCTCTGGTGTGTAGAACTTCAGAGCTGCATTCACGGCAAACTGTAAGAAAGAGCGTGTATTTGCTTCACATAAAAGGCAATCTAAATCATTGAACTTGTATGGACATTTTATTAGACTCGAATCTGGAAGCTGAGAACCAGCCAATTCTCGAAATTAATCATCTTTAATGCGTTTTTTTGTAGTAATACTTTTTCAATTTCCTGATCAGTCTTATAATCATTTAACAAATAAATGATCCTGGCTTCTCTTAGTATGCTTTTAACATCAAATCTTATTTTCAGAAATATAACTTACCAGTCTATCGGAGCAGGAGAAATCTTTTTTCATTCCAGGTGCCCATTTAACAGGTCTACCAGCAGCATCTGAAACAATGGCAAAACATATATATATATATACATATAGTGTATGATACAATTATATACAATTTGTGATACAATAATATACAATTTGAGATACAATAATATACAATTTGAGATACAATAATATACAATTCGAGATACAATAATATACAATTTGAGATACAATAATATACAATTCGAGATACAATAATAAACAATTTGAGATACAATAATATACAATTTGAGATACAATAATAAACAATTTGAGATACAATAATATACAATTCGAGATACAATATGACTTACTAATAACATCATGAATATATTTAATATATCCTAGATTTTTTTCCTTTTCAGTGTTTATTTGAAAGGTCTATCATTTTACTTTTTCATTATTTTTTTTACCTCCAACATAGTAACTCTGACTGATATCAACTTTCACCCCGTTATTGCATTCATCCACCAGATGGTGCCACATACCAAGTGATGGCTTTCGATAAATTCCAGATGATATTGAAACAAACACCTGAAATGGAAATAAACACCAATGATGCATCGCTAAAAACGGAAAAAGGAACTACTACTGGTGGATGGGTTCGTAGGAAAATTAAGTGAATGTCCTTTACTGCATCATCAGCAGGCATCTCAGATCGTCACATTTCACCCCTTAGCCTGTATGCATAATCTGAGTGGGGCAGCGATGGTTTGTACAATAGAATAACAGAAAACTTCCAAGAAAAGCTCATTTTAAGAGACAAACAACAAGTATTTAACAACAGTTAGCTGTTTTGTATCATACTTGTACAGTACTGCTTCACATTGAATTAAAACTTTTACAAAATCAATGAATTAGTATCTGGATAATCCTTACATATTTTTTGCTTTTTTTGTTTTATATTTGACTGTGTCACTTTACATTTAAGAATATATAAACATTCAAAATCTTGATAGCATTTGAATTTGGGGGTTTAAGCTACATGTTTTCAAGAGAATTGAGTAATGAGAAATTAATGAAATTAGCGCTATTCTAAATGCCATGAGTACTATTTTAGTGCTTGGAATATCTCCTCTTGTACATGAGAATTATGGGATAAATTCTCCTCTTGTACAAGGAATTATGGGTTGAGTTCTCCTTTTCTAATTACTTACACCACTGAGTACCAAGGTATTAGAAAATCGTTACAATTATGATTCTGAAATATGAGACAATAATCACTTGGGTCAATACATAACAAGTACATACATGTTACAAGTATATACATGTTACAAGCATATGCATGTTACAGGTATATATATGTTACAAGTATAAATGTTACAAGTATATATACATATTACAAGTATATACATGTAACAAGTATATGCATGTTACAGGTATATATATATGTTACAAGTATATATATGTAACAAGTATAAATGTTACAAGTATATATACATATTACAAGTATATACATGTAACAAGTATATGCATGTTACAGGTATATATATGTTACAAGTATATACATATTACAAGTATAAATGTTACAAGTATATATACATGTAACAAGTATATGCATGTTACAGGTATATATATGTTACAAGTATATATATGTTTCAAGTATATACATGTAGCTAAACCACTCCAACGTCTTAAATTCTTACCTGTACAGGAACTCCTATAGCTTTAACAATGTTAGCAACCTTCCTCTGGAAATCTGGGACTTTAACACTGCCTTTCTTTATGCCCATCTATAGAAAAAAATATATATCATATATATATGATATATAATAATATATATCATATTACTGATTGGTATAGTTCATCTTTGATCCAATGGTATTTCACTTTGTGGCAGGAGTGAAGCCCAATGTTGGAGGAAGGTACATATACATACATGTAAATAATAAACAAACTGTCTTACGATTTCAACATACATTTCATATCATTTCAAGTAATATACTACTATAGAAGAAAACCCTCTAAAAGAAAGGCCAAAAAGCAAGTTGTCCTCCAGATGGCTATGGTGTTGAAGAGCGAGCTAGCTGTAAAAGTGAGAGTATGAAATGTGGCAGCTAGTGATATTTCATCATTTTAACTAAATAGATACAGACCATCGGATATTTTCACATTGGAAATAATATTGTAATTGACTGGTCCATATTGCCATTTACCAGCTTTGTAAGGGGAGGCATCAAAAGTTCGATGTCGGATCGGAAACTAAATAAATCTAGTTTTGACTCTGACCCCCCCCCTCCCCCAAAACTAAATACCATGAAAGTTGATCGCTGACTTCCAGTTTGAGAATTTGATAAATTATTGCTAAACACGATCTAGTTTTTGTTAATTCCTATCGTAATTTGCGGCTTTAACAACTATTGATAGAATAGAATCCATTGGAATGATCTTCATGAAGAAAGCATCAGGTAAAATCTTTATCTTTTAACCATTCCAGGGCATTCTGAGTCAAAATTGCCAAAAATTTGAAATGTTGAAATTTGTCGAATAGCAAACTGAAATGGATTTGAACCCCCTCCCCCTAACTAGATTTATTTAGTTTTCTATCCGACATCGAACTTTTGATGCCTCCCCCAACTGGTCCAAAATGCTGACCAGTACTAACAAGATAATCCCAGGTAGATCCCTATTTTCTTACCTGATTAGTGAAGAATACAATCTTATAGCCAGAATTGTGAAGATCCTGCAACTTTCGTTTCACTTCAGGAAACTGGAGTCTGAAATATGAATGTATGGGGTAAAACAAAGCACTGCAGTATATTTAAATACGGCTATCCTCAAGTCATTAATTGCTACTTATTCCGGGTGTAGCTACCCTTCATCATATTTACAATTTACAACTTGGAATATAAATGTCTTGGATAAAACAAGATAAACTTACAATATAGTCATATAAACCTAAAATACAGTCATATAAACCTACAATACAATCATACCTACAATATTGTCATATAAACCTACAATACAGTCATCATCTGATGTCACAAATCATAAGAAGATATTGAATATAGTTACATAATTATGTACGCAGGGCATTTCATATTTACCCCCTCCCCATACTTTATACTTGTAGTACTGTCACCTAGCTGGTATGTAAAATATATTCCAATTTGGGACTTTCAGTTTTGTATACCCTTTTTTTATTTCTTCTAGTGAAGGTTCAGAATAAAACAATGACTATAATGGGAATTAATCTTAACTCATGCGTCATCTCCCAGGTGGTCAACTTCCTCATTATAGACCAATCCAGAAAATCCTGCCACCTATTGTTTATGATGTCATTATTTCAGTTTCATCGCAGAAATAGCATTAATATATTGCTAATTTTCTTTTAACTTGCTTGCGAATATTACTGGCTGTAAAGTATGACATCATAAATGTAGTCAATATACACTAGTTTCCTTGGTTCATGAAAATAGGCCAGGATATATTGGAAAGATCTAGTAATTTGTCCCTTATTGACCCAACTCATCCTCCTAAGCAGGTATCCAGAATCCATACCTCCTTCTTCCCCCTGCTATATCCAATATGGAAGCGCCCGATTAAACTGAATCATGTGATCTAATTATGCGCAATGACTTATACATAATTTCTGTTGCAGTGTTGCGACAGCCAATCAGATTGCAAGATCTTAATTGGGGGAAATGCTAACTGCTTATCGCAGGGGGTAAAAAGAAAGAATATATTCTGGATTTTGAAGCCCTGTGATCGGAGGATGACCCAATTGGGATCTGTGATTTTGGCTCTGCCTGGTTCAAAGAGAAATTCGTAACATTATAAGGTCAACTTACTTCCAATCATCAGGATTCTTCGCAAATCTTGCACCAGATTTTGTCACGATGATGGTGCCATCTATATCAAAACTAGCCACCTATCAAATATAGGCATTCAAAAGATTCAATGAATAGTTTAAACTATTTTTAACATTATTCTGCAATAATAGTTTGAAAGTGACTTACAGTTAGAAGTGTCACAGAGCATAAAAATTTGAAACGGTTTGGTTCGGAATAGAACAATCGTGGAACGGTTTTGAATCCTCAGTGTATCTAGCATGCATAAAATAAGTTGATCAACTTGGTCTATCTGGTAACAAAAAGCCCTTGAAATCGCTTCAATAAAAAGGATTGAAAAAATGACCTTTTCCCAGTTTTGTAACAACTTATGGTCAAAAGCAATGAAAAGGTAAATGTTTTGTTCCCTGTTCCAATCGAAGAGCCTAAACCCTGTGGGTCGGAGCAAAATCAGGTATCCGTGACATCTCTACTTAGTACTTACAGTGTTATAACATTTAAAGTTTGTATATTCAGTCCATAAGCTTGCAAAGATGACAGTAAAGTGATTCTTTTAAGTGAACATATTTCAAAATTTCAATTTTCATTATCGTGAAGACAAAATTGGTATCTACGAGTGTTGATTGTTTGTATATCTTTGTATGTATGGATGTCATCCCAATGTCTTGGATGACTTAATACTTTTATTTGGCAACATCTAGAGAAAATTGATTTTGCAATTTTCCTTTAATTATACCTTATTTCTAGGGGTGGATCCCTTGGCAGTATACACCATCAATGTCATTGGTTTAACCATATCCCATTTGTCCTCAGAGGCAGTACTAGGATTGTTACTTGTGGAGGGTAGGTTGGGTTCCACATCAAGAGAGCCATCTTGCTTATTTACTTGATTATTTCTTCCCTTTAAAAATAAAATGTGAATGCAATTTTGTTAAATGAGGAACAAATTCAATAATTAATCGTGAGCGTTTTTTAATGAAGTTATTAAGTAATTGAAAAATCCTGATTTCACATTTCAGACAAAAAAGGGTCAAATTATAAATCATGATTTGTCCCCATTTTGACTTCATAAATATTTTAATAATGATAATGGACAGATTACAATCATGACAATTTTTATGGTGTGAGGAAAATACAAAATGAACTCCTACCTGTGCCACCTCTCTTGCCTTACGACGTTCTTCAGCTGCTTTCTTCAACGCTTCAAATTGTTTATCAGAATCACTTTCATCTTCCGAACCAGATATATCCTTCATGTTATTTCCATTTGTTGATGAACTCGGAGCATCAGTTTTGAATTTTTTCCAACTCGCATTGTGGTCGTCACTATTTTCTTGTTTTCGCTTTGTTGATGGTTTGAAGTATGAGTCAATAGTGGAACCCTTAACTGATGATTTGGGCGTCCCATTTAAGGCTGTTGATTTGAATATGACGGAATGTGGGTACTGGGAGCCAATGATGCATAAAATTGAGTTGCCTTTCCACGAGACTGAATCTCCTCTAGTGATTGGTTCCCCATTTATAGATGCACTACGGGAGCCTAGTTGTTTAACTTCCACAGTCTTAGTTTCATAATTAGCTGTCAACTCCACTGAAAAAGAAATTCAGTAAAGGTGAATAAATCAAATAAGTAGGAGTTATAAACAATGTATGAATGTAACAAAATAGAAAAAAAAATAAATAAATAAAAAAAAGTAGGAGTTGTGATAGAATGGTGTTAAGCAATATAATTAAAAATACATGTTATACATTTCCGCTAGTCAGATTGGCTAACGAAACAACCTTTTTTGGGGTTGCCCACTCCGCCTTGCAGTCTAGGGTGCTAGAACAAACTCAGATAGGTGTATTTTATTCATCATGTGTTAAACAGCTTCATATTATGTGACGACCCATGTTAACATGGGACTAGTTTAAGTTTAATGATAAGTAGTCAGGTCTCATAATGTAATTATAATCTAAACTTACATTGTTGTCTTGAGCATTTGATGTCAACAATCTTCATTTCTGGTGTACGTCCAATCACAACAGGGATTTTGTCAGGTAGCGTGATAGGCTCGTGAGAATTATTCTCACACTTGAGTAAACATACACTTTCGCCCGTTGCCATTTTTAATGTTTCTTGTACACTATTTTAATGCTTGGACCTACTCCTTTGATGAATCGTAGTTATAGACAGAATTTGCCCCTGATGATACTCTAAGTTACTGCCGATTTGAAGTTTTAAATGTAAGTGCGAGTAATGTTCAGTCACTCTATATAAGTATTTACAAAGTCCCCTTCCCTTATCCAGTATATAATGTATTTACACCAACTATAGTTTTGCCCCTGTGCAACTGTCTATGTACAGTGTTGAATAGACCAGGCCGCTAAGTCTAATGTCCAAAGAACACAAGCATACAAAACATCACAAAGATGTTCCAAATGCCAATAAATATTCTGAAATATCGTAAGCTGATTAGAAATTCACGTATTTTGTCTCCAGTTGTTGGCTCGGAAACTACGCCGAAAGCCGAGTCGTCTGGGCTTCTTTTTAGTTTGAAATTGAGTATAGCGCCTGCGTTGACCAACAGCGTGCCGCAAATAATCAAATCTGCTATCATTTTGTAGCTTATGTCTCCAACTTTAGGTTACCGATACTTGATAACTATTTGTAACGATTAAAATAGTGTAATTCAAGTTTTATTGCAAATATTTTTCATTTTTTGTCTTGTTGGCACAGGTGCATGTGAAATACGTCATCAGTTTATGTGTTGTTGCAATAGAATTGCGCCCGCCAATTTATAAAAGCTAAGTCCCCTTGAGCTAAGTCCGAACGTTTGGACACAAGAGACGCAACGGGCAGGATCAGATCTAGACTATATCCTATTTAGTCTGAATTATATTCAGACTATAAGGCACCTATGTTAAAGTTTGGTAATATGAAATATTTGTTTACATAGGAAGTGCTATTCAAAATGGCCGATTGGTAAAATTAATTTGCACATTTGTTACTTCAACTAGCTTTATTTCCACTTGACAATATGCTATGTTACTTTTTATTGCATTTAATTGTACCTTACTATTTAATTGAAATTTTGTAATGTTTATTTTATTGAAGAAATGGTTCCTCTAATTGATAATTTTGTGCAAAAAATTTCACTGCAATTTCCACAGGAAAGTAGTACATCATAACAGACTGACTTCTAGTCAGTCTGTTGGATACATACTAGGATCAGATCTATAGGGAAAAAATCTTTAGGCAGTGGCGGATCCAGGAACCAACAGGGGGGGGGCCCAAATTTGCGGTCAGAGAAAAAACCTCCTAAAACCGAAAAGTGGGCCCAAATTTTGAAAATTTGAGGCCTTGAAAATAAGGCCTTAGAAGGCACAATAATGACCAAAAGGCCCACTTTTGGGGCCTTTTTTGGCCTATAATTTTTTTGGGCCCAACTTTTTTTCCGAGGCTGGGCCAACCTTAGAGGGGGGGGGGGGGGGGGCGGGCCCCATGGCCCCCCCCCCCGTTTCCGCCATAGTTAGTGGGGAGGGGGGGGGCAGGTCTTCCCCCTCAACCGATAAGGGTTAAAATAATTTCTTTTCTTCGTGCAAGAACATATCATGCTTTCTCGTCATTGTTTAGTGACATTAATTTCATGAGATCAACCGAGTTAGAGCTGGTCGTTCGTCTTATAAAACCTATTGCTTAAGGGAACATGGGGCGGCCCTAAAAATTTAGTTTTAAGTTGTTCTGTACGGGATATTTTCTTATCTGTCAATCATCGCGCATATTGATGTTCCACTTTATTAATGGTTTGTGGTTTACATTTTTCGAGTGTTTTATACTTGCCTAGGACTATTTTTGTGTTTTAAACCAAAATTAATCAATTACAAGACTAGCCCACACATCTTATCTCAGACGTTCAAACCGTTGACAGATAAAGTATTCTTAACCCCTACCATAATTCTAGTCATTTGATATTTGTCGGAAGGAAATAAGGTACAGACCAAATGTTAAAATCGTTTATTTGAAAACCAATTATTCTTGTACAATAAGACTTTTGTATGTTATAACATGTGTGGGCCGTTTTGCCCCAAAGACATGTGGATTTTCAAATAGACGTCATTTAATTTGCCTAATATTTGAAGCTCGAAACTTTTACAAATTAAGAATAAATATGCGTACTCAATGTAAAATGTTAAATCAAAACGATGTTCTATTGTTGCCGGATTGTTTAGAGATTCTCGTGGGAGGGGTGATTTGCAAAAAAGAGAGTGAAAAATAGTATTACCTCTTACGTATAGCGAGACGCTACTTGGTTAAAAATGGTCGGTCGAGAAGGTGGCGGAAATTTCAAAATTTGATTATGTGACCTTTGAAGAACCATCTTTTTATAGTTCAAAAGTATATTTCGATGGGCCACTTTGCCCCAAAGGGCCGTTTTGCCCCATGTTCCCTTAATCCCCCTACCAGGTGTTTAAAAGGGTAACTTAGGTGGTCCTATCAAATTTTGGTCCTACTCTCTATTGATTTATATGGTGACCTAGGCTAATTACAATCATTTTCCTTATTATTTATACACAGTCAGGGCCAGTAGGGCCGTAAGGAAGGGGGACCATAATCCATAATCCCCAGGGGACCATAATTTCTTTCACACCGGTTTGACTACTATTCTGTATGGATTGATTGAATGAAAGAATGTTGTGTTCACCCATTCTTTCAAATCGTGTTGAGGAACGCGTTTATCAATAAAATTGAGTATTTCGGATGAACGGAAAGTTTTAACTTTTGTTGTTCAAAGTTTTAAAAGGCGAGAAAAAATTGTCCAACAACTCTTTTTTCAAAAAATTCAAAAGCAACATTAGAAGCAATATTTGAATGTTGCAAAAATATTTTCAAACTTTGAATCGGGCGTTTGAATTATATCCTGGGCGTAATAGGAAATATACATTCTGGTACTCATCACATCCTTCTGTTTTCTACCAGGAAATAACTTATCATGATATCTAATGATGGAAAATGAATAGGCGTGTCATTTGATATTCTGTTTAGTTTGGATGGTTATAGCCGAGTCTTTGCGCGAGTTTTTAATTGTTACCTGTTACTATCGTTAACTTTTATTACCGTTAACTGCTTCCCACTACCATCACTCAGCGCTTTCACGCAGTAGCACCAAATGGGAAATAAACGAACCTATAATTTACTTTAATTGATTCAGGTTTAGTCATTTAATTTCGAATTGAAAAATGAGAAGGCAGCCATCGGAGAAAAATATGTCGGCCCGGATAACGTGGATTTGTGTTTTAAACTTACATCTCTTTACACTGAGCAGTTCTATGAAAATACCATACGGTGAGTTTCAGAATTTTTTGATTATATGTACCAGGTAACAAGAAAAACTCTTTAAGGATATATATTTTGTCTTTAAAGCTATTTACAATACATTTTGAAATCAAAACTTTCAAGCTAATCAATGTGGCACTAACATTTCGATTTTCACTGCAAATTCTATCATTCTACAAGTACAGTCTTTTTATAAAGAAAAAACATGTTTCAAAATACAGAACCTACCTACACATTTGACGAACGATCTAATTTACCACGAAGTGGCTGGTTCAAATTAAATTGTAAAAACCTGAATGTATGGTTAAACGGCTTAATTTTCGTTTGTATGTTTGTTTGCACATTTGTTTGAAAAGCACAGTCAAATAAGAAACAAAAATATTCTTTCTATTTTATTCTTAGACTGTATAGTGACGTATGATAAGTCTATAGTTCCTGGAGGTACACGCTATGAAGACATAGAGAAAAAGTTCTCCCAAGAAAGTTGCAGAAAAAAATGTGAAGAGGTAACCAAACAATTTTAAAGATTAGATTAAGAATAAATAAAGTAAAAAAAAAAAAAAAATATATATATATATATATCTGAGAAAGAAAATCAACAACTTTGTTAATACAGTAAAACTTGTGTATAGTGAACATTTTTTTGCCAAGAAAAAACGTTCACTGTAGGTAGGTGTTCACTAGAGAGAGGGTAATTTATACAGAAGTCAGTGGACTATGTGAGTAATTTTGGAGGCCAGGTGTGAAAGAAATTATGGTCCCCGGAGATTATGGCCCCCTTTCTTAACGGCCCTTGCTGGCCCTGATTGTGTATACGATAATAAAGGAAAGAGGTCACCATATAAAGCAATGAAGACGTCACCATATAAAGCAATGAAGAGTAGGACCATAATTTGAGAGGACCTCCTACCCTTTTACACCGGTCTTCAGTACCCTTTGATACCAGGTTTAATTACAGGCCCGTAGCCAGGGGGTTCGCAGGGTTTGGGCAAACTCCCCCCTGGCCAAAATCTTTTTCAAAATCATGCAGTTTTTCACCATTTTCACTTCTCAAGTAATTTTAGCCATATTTGGGCCAAAATTGTCAAATGTGGCCCCTTTGGAAATTTTTGAAAACTCCCCCCCCCTTGGCAAATCCTGGCTACGGGCCTGAATTATATACTTTCAATGCGCAAAATGAGTACAACTCCCATGGTCAAGGACAGTTTTCTTTGGATTTAACTTCCAAATCCATTCTGCATTTACAATCCTCCAAACGCAAGGGTCAAATCACCATTAAAGAAGACAGAAACAGAGTGGATGATGTTTGGATCCCTGCGTTCGGAGGATTGTGGCCTTCGTTTAAGATCCTCCTAAGAACTCCACAATTCTCTATGTCATTATTGTCAGGCTAGGTGATTGGGCGCCGTATCAACGAGGTTGCGAGTTCGAGACGCGTGTGCTCCTTTTGTTTATTCATTTAAATGCTGTTTAATTGTATCATTTTACTCTAGGATGACAAGTGCAGCGCGGCTGACTACAACAGGGAAGATAGGAGCTGTTGGTTCCATAACAAATTCCCATTGGACACTCGAAAGTTTAAATATGGCTTGGAGGAATGTTGCGTCCACATTAGGAAAGCTATGGGGCCGGACGATTGTCCCGGGATGTTAGAGCAAATGCACGAGATTTTAGAAGGTAATCTGATAGCCTAATTCGAATTAAAATAATGACTCAGTAACATTTGATCTACAGTAACCGTACGGCGACCGTAGTTTCCCAAAATAAGAGAAATACGCAGCATAAAATATGGAGATAAGTAGTATGTAGATTTTCTATATCGATTTTGTGAAGGTACGGTCGCCGTACGGCCGCCGTACGGCCGCGCACATGAGCAAAGGTGACAGAGGCTTAAGTCACACTCTGTATGAACCAGGGAGGTCTCAATACAAACTAGGGTAATATTCCCTGGAGGTCAATTATTTATCTATTTTTGACTGATATATGTATATTACTGGTATATCTCTGGCTTGCAAACGATTACGAAAAATGGTAGTTAACACAGATACACTTCCCTACAATAGTTTGGTAACTCACTCTACCATTAAGCTAAACTGTAAAACCCCCTTAATATTTGGCAAATTTCAAAAAATCAGAATCAGAAATTGTCACACAGTCTGACCTGCAGTAACCGAAGTAAAATAAACAGGTCCTGATATGAAAATATTCAATACGGAATCGATCTTGCCAAACTTTTGGAGGGGAGCGTACGATAGATACATGTTTTTAGCATTAGGCTAACATTCTATTTTTTCTTATAGATGGCAGAATGAAAATGGGTCCACCAGGTCCCCCTGGACAACTAGGACCTCAGGGTCCACCGGGAGACCCAGGTATTGTTGGACCAATGGGCTTTCGAGGTCCAGAGGGACCTCCCGGGAAACCCGGAGTAGCTGGACCAAAGGGAGACCATGGGATGGTCGGTTCTCCCGGGAAACCAGGTCCCCCGGGGCCAGTACCTGACAGAGGTCCGCCGGGTATGAGGGGCCCACCGGGACAAGGTGAGCTCAAGGTACATGTACCTTGTATTTTACTTGATGCAGTTGGTACAAGTACCTAGTAAACGTACCTGTACACGAACCTTGTTTTATTTTTTTGTTACATGTTCCTTGTATTTACTTTTTTTGGGACACGGACCTTGTTTTTTTCTCGTTGTTACATGTTATTTACTCAAGTTATAGCTGCATGAATCTTGCATTCATAATTAGTTTCTGTTTTGTCATACTTTTCATTCTTTTTTAGATAACAACGATGTCGATTTGGCAATGTTTTCCGCAATGGTACAACAAGGTATGTCGCGTTCCTTATTGTTTTTCCAGTATTGATTCCAAATAACGTTAGACGGGTCTCGCCGTTAGAGTTTAAGGTGACTGTTAACTTAATCGATTTTCAGAAAAAATTGAAAATTTCACAATCTTGAAATTTTCAAACTCTTCCTGAGAAGTCGTTTTTATTATTTGCTTGTGCACTGTAATCATTACAAAGACATCAAAGAACAACAAAAAACTTTAGTTTGAGAAAAAAAGTGCCGTTTAAAGAATTTGAGAAGATTTTTTTCTAGGAGTAGCCCGTGAAAAACCGCTGATTCAAAATATCTGAACATTTCAGAAAATATACTTCAAACATATATCAAAAACGAAGGAGCAACGGAAATTTGAAAAATTACCCGATAAAAAAATTGGGATCAAAATAAGGAAAAAAGTACACTTCTCAAATTGTTTTTTTTCTATTTTTTTAATTTGTATGAGAGATTTCAAAATTCTAAAGCTCCTTCCATTTTGGGCTATATTAAAGGGATGTTTCAGAGAAATTAGAAAAAAAATGTTCAGGGACCTTTGCCGTGCTACTCTTTTTGTCAATTTTTCTGTCACATTTTCAGAGGACTCAAATTCCCATTCCAAAATGTTTACTGTTTCTACGAGGGAAGATCCAAAAGTTTCCGGCCTAACATAGTTCTAGTTGATGGATTTTCAAAATGATAGTGTCATTTTTCAATGTAGTCTCCCTGTACTTCGATGCACTTGGCCCATCTTCTTGGCAGCATCTCAAGTCCAGTTCTGAAGAAATCAGGAGCATGACCCTCCAACCACTGGTTAACAGCTATCTTGACCTCATTATCATCATCAAAGCGTTGCCCTCGTAGAGATTTTTTGAGTTTCCCAAATAGGTAATAGTCACTGGGTGCTTGATCTGGAGAATAGGGTGCGTGCGGTAATAATTCCAGATGGCATTCTTCTGCTGCATCACGAGCAACTTGGCTTGTGTGAACAGGTGCATTGTCCTGTTGATGCAAAACTCCAAGACGGACTTTGTGTGGCCTGGTTTCATCAAGGTTAGCTTTTAAAGTACGCAACAAAGCAGCATAATATTCTCCATTCATTGTAGTACCTCTTGGAAGGTAGTCTACTAAGATAGGACCTTCACAGTCCCAGAAAATGGTGGCCATCATCTTTTTGTTGGATGGGGTGGTGCGAAACTTCTTTGGAGGTGGGGACCCCATATGTTTCCATTGCATTGACTCATGTTTGGTTGAAGGCTCAAAATGACGCACCCATGTTTCATCACAAGTGACTATTCTCTCCATAAAACCTTGTGGATCAGTGTTATACATGTCCAAAAGCTCTCTTGCAACAGCAACTCGTTTTGTTTTCATGTCCTCTGTGAGCATACGGGGCACCCATCTTGAGCTTAACTTTTGCATGTGTAAATCTTCATGAATTATTCTACAAACGGTACCATATGATAATCCAGTTTATTCTACAAGTTCACGTATAGATTTCCGCCTATCTTCCAATATTGTTCGATGTACAAGATCAACATTTCTATCTGAAGTGACATCTTTAGGTCTTCCAGAACGTGGTGCATCATCGATTGATTCCCGCCCACGTTTAAATTCAGCCACCCAAAATTTTACAGTAGAATAGGAGGGAGCACCTTCCCCATACACATCCTTAAGTCTATCGTAGATTTCCTGCCCTCCATTTTCTTCTTGATATAGAAACTTTATCACAGCTCTATATTCAGTTTTCTCCATTGTGCAGCCACTGTGACCTGCCCTCATCATGAATATTCTCAAAATAAGGCTGTGACCCCTAGAGGTTAATCATATGCATAAATTATGTTCATACATAAGCAACATTTGAACTGTGAAGAATGGTTGCTCTCAGACATCGGGAACTATGTTAGGCCGGAAACTTTTGGATCCTCGTACTGTATTTGCATTACCACAGTGAGCCTGGTTATATAAATGATAAGTGGAACTAAAAAATTGAGAGAAAATCCAACCAAAAGACAGTTAATTTTGATGGTCAGATTATACTCAAATGCCATGTGCTTCCTGGTTTCGGCCATCTTGGATTTTTTTTGAGTTATAAGTTACCTTAAGTCCAATCCACATCCACGTGGAACCCATGCCACGAAGAACCACATTGAATCCTCGTGGAATCCATGTGGATTCACGCTGTTTTCACTTGGATTCCATGGAGATCAATATCTTTAAATGCTCAGCAAATCTGACCTCTCTTGAAAAACAACCTTTCAACAATATTGAGAAAGTAAAGACATGCGATATAGCTATTTTGCACTTTCTTAAAATCATTTCCCATTTTATTCCATGTGTCACCCATTCCACTTGTTACTTGTTCCCTGTGTCAACCATTCCATGCGTCACTCATTCCACGTGTCACTCATTCTTTGTGTCACCCATTCCACTTGTTACTTATCCCCTGTGTCACCAATTCCATGTGTCACCCATTCAAATTGTCACTTGTGTACCGTGTCACAAATCCATGTGTCACATATTCATTGCGTCACCCAAACCATGTGTCAACCATTCCATGCGTCATTCATTCTATGTGTCACCCATTTCATGTTTCACTCATTCCATCTGTCACCCTTTATACGCATTATTTTCATAAAGCATAACAAATTTTTAAGTGACCTCGTTGACCCAATCGATAACCCAAAACATTTCATTCAACATTCCAGATGATATCTGGAGAAGACGAGTGACAGAAACACTTAAGCGAATGAAGAAGAGCGAGGCGGTGTTCGCCATCGCAAACATAGTACTCTTCATGCTGTTCCTAGCACTGACCCTAGCGGTCGTGAGACATTTGAGGAGATCCTGGGAATATTCATGTAAACGTACAAAGGAGAATAAAACAGATCAGAATTCGGTGATGTGAAATCATTGTTACAGATAAAGGACAGGACGATTGTATTTGTTCAGTTAATTAGTGTACGTTTTTTGGTAGAGCTGTGGTACGATCCGAACATAAAACTGCATAGTGCACTAATTTCATGTTTAAATCGTTGAAAACGCACGAGACGTACACCACAGCGCCTCCTGAAGTAAGCCTATACCATGATAGATAGAAGGACTTCAAAATTGCCACAAAATGTAACACGTGCATCTCTGCGAGAGCACCATCTATATTAGATTATCATAATATTGTTGAACCATTGTCGAAACATCAAGTGCAATTTTAAATTCACTTATTTGAGAGCACCTTTCTATAAAAATAAAAAAGGTTGTAAATAGGAGCCATATATTTATAGAACGTAAAGTAAGATTACGTTTGATCCATCGACGTTAAGTTTATATAATTTGTTTGCCTTTATATGTATGGCATAAAGAAAGGTTTCATATTCAATAATTTAATGTATTAGATTTACGATATGTAAATAAACTGAAGATATAGTTTCATCAATATATTTATTGTCTCATTCAAATTATGATGAAAAAATATAGTTTAAAAGTTGTAAAACTGTTTATTTTCACAGCTAAAATAATAGAAACTATTAAATAGCTGTTATTACAAATATGACAAAATTGAAATGTATCATATTGTCTTTATTTTGAACTTTTCCGCTTTTCTACTTACCCACCTATGGCTTTTATAACTTCATAAAGATGGCGTGACGAATGTTTGTCTTTCGACGGATTACTGGATTGAAGCGTAATTAATGTTTCTCCAAAATTACAAATAACGAGCATTCTTGTGGTTGCGCTTCCCCGTATAACCCCAGACTGCACCAGAAGATAATACATGAAATAAAAATGTTCACCTCTTCCCGATTAGCATGTTTACTTCTTTCATATAACCATAAGGTTCAGGCCCGGGGGGGGGGGGGGTCCGATGGCCAAAAACAAAGTTGTTAATCATCAAAAAACTGACCAAATATTCTTTCAAAATCATTCAGTTTTTCATTATTCTTGACACTTGTAAGTGATTTTGACCAATTTTGGACCAAAATCGTCATAAGTGAACCCCTCGGAATTTTACAAATAGTGAACCCCCTTGGCATTATATCATTCATAATTGACAAGATCATGACAAACAATAATAAATCTATTTTTTAAATCGTTTTTTTCTTGTTCAATTTTAACTTATCGTGGTTTGAGCCTATTCATGTATCAGACTATTATCAGGGCATTTAAAAAAATAATGTTTTCGAATCTTCAATCACAAGCGCATATTTAATATAAGATAAAATAAACTTCAAAAAATTAGCATACAGTAACAATACTATTTTGTTTGTGATGTGTACCATGATTAACGGCAAGGGTGTAGCTTGAAGGCGAGTGTAGCTGCAGCCTCTACGTCAAAATATCTTTGCCATTTTTAGGCAGACGATATCAAGTTGTAGGAATGTTTTTGGGTTAGTCCATTACGACCTCAAAAGGGGATACAGGATAGCAGCCATGTTTGGATAAATCATCAAAATTTAAATTAAATACAAATTGAGAAAAGTCTTAACTATGAATTGTAAATACAGTTGCTCTTAGAGTCTTACAAAACAACAATCACTTTATTGTGCACTTAAAAAGTTAGACTGCAAAGGCAAAATGTGTAGCTATTTTCGGATATCCTCACTGTTTAAATCAATTCGTTAACCCTACACCCCTCAGACGTTTCCAACTGCCCTTTCTGTTGCTTCTGCTGGATTAGCTGGCGCTTGGATCTTCCTTGAAAAATCTACTATTTATTTCGGCCAAATCCGGTAAGTAAAATTACAATTTAACGATTTTTATACGTTCATAACCATTGTATTGACCGTATGTGTCCCATTTTTGTATGTGGCGTGTTTACATTATATCAAAAATGAATTTTATGCTGGTGCTAAGTTTATGGATCTTTCATTTCCACTGTTATTTTAGCCATATATCTATAAGTAGCACAGGCGGCCATTTTTACTAGAAATCTATCTTATGATCTCGTCCCGAATTATATCGGGATTGAGTCTAAATAATTTGATTTACATGTTTTTGCAACCATGGGATTATTCGAGATTTGATCAAAAATTGAACTCAAGCAATGAAACTAGAAACTCAATCGGTATAGCATACGGACTCAAACATATGTTTTTATGTATTTTATTTCTGAATTCCTAGGCCTCAGTATCAAGGGTATTTTAGATTATTATGGCTTGATCGTTAGAGCTTTTCATGACCATAATCGGGGTTATTCTTGACCATTATTGTTTGAGTTTACCTGAAGAAGGAAATAAATCGAGAATTTTTGTTTATTGAATCATGGATAAAAAGCACCAGTCATTTTGATTTACGTTAACGTTATTGCAACTGGATCCCCATCTACACTACCTCAGTGTGTAGAGGGGGGGGGTACCTCTGTGTGTAGAGGGGGGGTACCTCTGTGTGTAGAGGGGAGGGGGTACCTCTGTGTGTAGAGGGGGGGAGGGTACCTCTGTGTGTAGAGGGGAGGGGGTACCTCTGTGTGTAGAGGGGGGAGGGTACCTCTGTGTGTAGAGGGGGGGGGGGGGTAGTGGTCAGACGGGCTCAAGGCAAGACTAATCCAAGATAAGTTTCAATTTTCAACATTAATGGTTTTAGATAAACAGTCTGAGTTCTACGTTGAAAATGATTATAGTACTCAAATGAATGTTTATGCTATAGACTACTTTGACTGAAGTATGTATGAAACAGATTCAATATTGAGTGATGGGCAAAAACATTTATTTTTCGAAATTACACACTTTAAATTCTTTAAATTGGGTTTCTACTTTGAAACACTTGTAAGGTACCCCTACCCTTTTCAATAATTTACTTTTCTTCATTAAAAAGAGCCTCGATTACTTGCTTCCAAACCCCAGGGACCAGGGTAGATGGAGGTCTGCGTTGTGTATCTTTATCAGTATTTTGATGATTAACAACCTTGTTTTTATTATCTTCGCTGAAATTAAACGCAATGTAATCGATGATATACAGTGACTGAAATTGCCAATTAAACTTTATCTAAAACTCGTTTACCAGAAAGACTATCACAAAGTAAAAATCTTTTTAGCGGTGCCTGCTCACATTCGAGAACTCTTCTGATCAAGAATTCCTCGTTGTGTTTTTGGTTTCACTTCGATTTGACATGCCTTAGAATATTAATGAAAAAACTGGCAATTCTACAATCAATTCTACTTCACAGAAAAGTTACCCCGATTTTACGGGTGAGGGGGTGAGGGTGTTTACGGTGAATATCAGCACTGAGATGAATATCTAACGGTGACCAATCTACATTTAGCCATTCGAATTCGAAGACTTTTTTTCAAAGTCTTCTTTTATTTTGGTATTCTTTATTTCACTTTGATCTGACATGCCTTAAAAGAAAAGTGAAAAATTGGCAATTTTTACAATCAATATTTCTAAACAGATAATAAATATTCGGGGCCTCTCTCAGTAAATATCAGCAAACCTGATGTTAAATGCGGTGATATAGTACGAGTTTGGTTAACTATCTTACTTATAACATATGATTCATGTTGGGTTTATTTCCGTACGAAACTCTAGATCTCCAAATGAACGAAAGTTCAGAAAGGCTTGCTTACTTTAGGGCCAACATCCATTCATCAGTTCTATAAAAACTGCATTTTAGTATACACCGGTGATAAAGTGCACGGAGGCGATTAAAAAGTTGTATGTCGGGCTGGATGTATAGAATTAAGACGAAGCTCTCTTTATAAGAAGTTCAATTTTGGACAAGCTATATTTAGCTTTTATTCATTTTGTGAGGGGGGGGGGGGTGGGGGGGGTAACCATTTCATAATGCATTGGCAAAGTGTGTGTTTTTTTGGAAAATCCAGTTCCATGATTCATGTTCTATTTTTAGATTAGAGTTTAGTCTTCCTGACATTTATATCACTACATCTGTCTTGCTAAAGTATGTAGTATGCACCAACAACTGGATTTTCAAAAATAAGATACTGTTAGTGATACAATCTAGGGACTAGGAACATTGCCATAATACCCAAGTGACCCTATACTGAGGACGAGGAATTCGATACAAAATTATTTTTCCAAGTTTCCCCATTGACCTTTTATCATTGCATTCGCCGCTAAATATATAAAGAGAATTGTAGGCTACTGTACATATGCCAAATGTTGAATTCTTTTCTGTTGATGAAATTTTAAGTCGAATGCAGCTGATTTAATTAGGATTTGACATTATCAATACTTGGGAATATAATTCCCCCCACTCCAAAGATTTGGCAACAATAATTTCATTTTTATGCCACCGCTAGAAGTGGTAACATATTGTTTATACGATGTTGGACGGTGTTCGGCGTTTAGTGGCCGGCGTCTGTAACAAATGCTAGGTGGTGACATTTTGCATATTAATGCCATGTTTGAATTATTCCATTTCTGCTTATGGTTTGCATTTAAAATACCAATCTTTTCAAACTTCTTTATAGGGGGGGGGGTGTAACCTACATTATGTACTATATTTTAAATATAAATGATAACCATATGTTATATCACTTGGCTAGTTGGCTAATTGGCTTCACACAGTGCACCGTATTTGAATCATCACTTATCAGTGTGAAGCTTCTGGAAAAATAACAAGTTTTAATGTTCTTTTATGAAAAATACCGATACTAAAAATCATCATATATTGTTGTTATTTGTTGCAAGGGCGTCTTTAATACCCGGGAATAAGCCAATGTACTGAACGAAAACGTTGTACTGCACCGAATTTGCGAACATGGTGCGTTCCTGGTATTGCATTCACCCTTATTTGTTATACTTTATGTTAATAAGTGGAACGTTATGTTCTAGTTAAAAGCAATCACAATGGCTAGGAAACGAGTCAGGTTTGGAGGGTTGGTAAGGCGAACTATTTTCAGCTCGTTTCTTGCACTCCCTCCGCATGTACTTCATTCTCCAAGCGCACGGCTATGGATAATCTCCATAGTCCCGCGTTTGGAGGATGCATGTACTCAAAACACACGATTTTTACTAAAGCTTTTTTATGTATTTAGCTATCATACTCTCATGTTAATAACCATGTTATTAAAACATTAGTAATCCGTACTTGCTAACGGCATACTGGTTTATTTTAAACTATCACGATCTGTGTGCATTGGTAACAAAAGTTTGAGGCATTAAGGCCACTTTAAATTTATTGTATGGTTTACCGGAACTCTAGTATTGTATCACGCTTATTGCCCAGACTCCCATTTCGAATTTTTCTCAATGAAATAGAAGTTGGTAATGTTCATGTTCTCATGTTTAGTCTTATATGTGCAACATCTATGTTTCCGAGAGAGTCAATTTTTGTATCATATGTTTGAAGTTATGCACAGGGTATATACAAACAAAATTATGAAATAGCACTTACATTTATTTTGCAAGGGCTTGAAGCAAGACTAGCTGAATTAATATTTAAAAAGAATCTTGCTGAGGTCTTTCTTTCCTACTTGTTGCAAAAAACAATTGAAACTGATATTTACATTTTGGTCAATAAATTTGGAATGAACTGCTAGACACCATTAATAGTCCGGTTGCCAAATACCTCTGACAGGCTAAAGGTCGTTTTAAGGTATAAAGTTTTTTTCTGTGCATTTTTCTATTGCTACACATGTATTCTTTAAAATGAAATAATCTGCAAAATCATATATGTTGAGCATTTTTTTTAATCGCACCATATAATTATGTAATTAATTTCAAAGGGGGCGTGGCACTTTGAAAGTTATAACATGTTAACAGTCATTAAAAATTATTAGACCACTGAGAAATATGTGTTTTGGAGAGATAGAGAGAACAAAGGTTTAATTTAACATACATTGCGTGTTTTCAGCCTGACCCCCAGGGGCCGTGAATGGGGGGAGGGGTCGGGAAAACAGGAATTTTGAGATCTTTCTGAAGTATAGCTTTATTATACTCAAATGAAAGGTAATTAAGAGTAGATTGCAAATATTGTATCATTTTTCTGATTCGGGCCTCCTGAAATTCAAAATGGCCGCCTAGTGTGGGATTTCGCAATAATTTTGTGATCTTCAAAGTATGCGTATTTTATATTCAATTTGAAGGAATGTGAGAGCAGGTCACTGTTATAGTATTGTTTTTCCTTATTCATGCCTTAAGATTCAAAATGGCTGCATAGAGCAGGAATTCTGTATTACTTAAAGATCTTTTCAAAGTAGTGTTACATGATACTATATTAGATTTCAAATAGTATTGTCTTGATGATTTATACCTTTGAAACCCCTTAATGGTCACTCATATGCTTAAATCTGTGAAACTTCTTATATATCTCTAATGTATGTATGTCTTAATATCTGTGCGAGATGCTGATATATCTAGTTTGAGATTGATTACATAGTATTACAATGTACCTCAATTTATAAAGTCATCATGTGATACAAAATATGATGCTTTTTAAACTAATTTGTCAAAAAATGTCATCCAAACGAAAATGTGACTATACTAACATTCCATTTTCATAGAGGTGTGAAAAATAACAATTGTGATCTTTCCCCTCTAAGAGATTACTGAATCACCAACTTAGTTATCAACAATTATTTACCTCTACAAATATCGCTTGGGACTATACTGCTGGAGTTCAAGGCTTCTGCTGTTGTATCTAGATTGATACAGATAATTTTAAACAATTTTGGAGCAAACATGTCCTTTTGGAATGGATGGAAGTCAACCCATACATTGGTGATATTGGCAGTACAACTAAAAAGAATATTGAGCTATTAAATCCCCAAGTATGGAGGATACTTTACCAGATTGACTACAATGAAAGAGAAATCAGTTAAGCCTGCCACCTTAACAAAGTACTAGCCATTGGCTGACATGAAACCATCCGACCCTAGCACAATGATGACCATGATGATTAAAGCTAAACATCTTACAAATGAATATGGCATGGTATATACAACTCTATAAAATAGCAATAGCATTAGGTGTGACTAGAGCATATTCAACCAACTTGGTGGAATGAACCAAGTTATTATGATTGTCAGATTCCTCATTAGTCTGAGCTGACAACCTGTCCACGGAAGGCGTCATGATAAACCATGACATCTTATTACTTCTCAGCCCTGTTCCAGGTGAAACAGAAATTATGAGTATCAGAATGCACAGAATGTAAGCATCCTCCAAGTGTTAAGTAAATACCAAGCTGTTGTGCAGAAATTGAGTGTGATATAATATCATAAATATGATCATATGATATATATAGCGTATTCTTCTTGTGCACCATAACCACAACCATCAGTTGCAGGATCAGTTCACCATGCAGCGAAAATCACCTGGGAGGGCAGTGGTGGATATAAAGCGCTTAAAACAATCTACAACAGCACTGAAGTTCGAACCCTACCCCAAACAATTAAGGCATTTGCAGATTGCAGAAATTTCAAGGGGGCTCATTGGAAAACTTGAAATATGCAGATTGTCCCAAGCCATCCGCCCTTGAATCAACACAATTTAGTTGAGAAAAAGTTGAGAATTATTACTTAGGAGCTTTACCAGAAGACATACAGTGTGTCTCATCAGAAGTCTTGAAGCCCATAGATGTGGATGGCTGGATGGCGCGCTTCAGGAGAAAATGACTGTATAGCAGTACAGCGACAGTGTTGATTATGTTATAGTTATCTAACTAGAAAACGACAACTCCACGGAGTAGCAAATCCCAACGAACACTACAATATATTCATGAATCTGTATATGGCATGATGTGATTATTTACCATCTACTCTACCCTTGATCAAATTGACAGATATTAAAAGGCATACATTACAGATATATCAGAATTTCACCTGGGGTATATTCCTCAACACTACCCCTGGTCATACGAATAATGTGTAATATCGACAAATACACCCCTTAGATATCTAAGCACGAGTGCCAAAGGGAAATAACCAAAAGTTGTAATGGAACTTAGCAAGAAAAAGCAAACTCTAAGTGCATACCAGTCAAGAAAAACAAACCCCATATATCCCAAAACCATGATCTAACATGAAAAGAAACAATGTCTTTCCCCCATCAAAAATAGTTGTAGATACAAGTACATGTACTCATATAAGATAGAGCATTCAGTCTCAAATGATGTGGGATAGATAAAATCCAGTCTCCAAGTCCATAGGCGTTTCAAAGGGTCAACATCCATTCGCAAAAGCCATCGCCATAATCCATAAAACACAATAATTCACAATGGTCATCAGGAGAGAACTATGGCTGTTTTCGATCCCTATTTCTCAACCACTAATGCCAGTGCTGGGATCCACCTCAAAAGGTGCCAAGTGAAAAAATTGTGAGTTCAGCGCCAATTTCTTAAACAATTCCTACATCCTTCAGCATCTCAAGTGGTAAAACTTGAAACTTCAAAATTAATGACTTGTATTTTTCAGCAAAGACCAGAAAGTATTTCTTAAACTTTTTACAAGTATAACCTTGACCTAACAGTTTGATCACTAAAGTATTGTGTCTTGACTTAAAATCTAAATATTTAGAGCATGCAATGCCATATCTAATAAGCTAGGCTACGTACACCCCATATGATAGAGCTAGGCACAAAAGCTATCGAACACTCCACTCCCTTCAGTCGTTCGGGGTACATAAAACATTTGTACCTAGCCCTGCATGGTGTAATCGTCGATATAACACCTGCTCTTCAGTCTATATTTCTTAAATATAGCCTTACTTTGAAGAAATCTCTGAGTAATAGCGAATTTCTACTCTAGAAACAATACAATGATTGTTATCTACTTCAATATAAATGAATAAACACAAGGAGCACACACGTCTCAAACTCGTGGTTACAGCACCTAATTGCCTAGTTTGAACGTGCTGGCGCTCAAGCCCTCTCGGCCATATAGACATACTTTGAATGGATCAGGAAATTATTGTGTAATCCTACATTAGGCATTACATCCTACATTAGGCCTGAATCAGAAAAATGATACAATATTTGCAATCCACTCTAAATTGCCTTTCATTTGAGTATAATAAAGCTACACTTCAGAAAGATCTCAAAATTAATGAAAATTTCTTTTTCCCCACCCCCTCCCTCCTATACTCAGCCCGGGGGGGGGGGGCAGGGTGAAAAACATAGAATATATGTGGAAAAGATAGATGCTGTGAATATACTACCAAAATTTTAAAAAAAATATTCAGTACTTTGGTTTGAAAAGAAAGACTTAATATTTTCGCGAAATAGTCCCGGCATTTTTAAAGTGGTGGCCATCTTGATAACAGACGAATGGGTGGAGGACTTCACTCTATGTCTGGGATAACAACCAATTAAAAGCAATTTGCCTTTGCCTACAAATGCATTAGTTTGTGAAATATTGATCTTAAAACTTGGATTTTCTAAGATTATCGATATAAATCTGCAAAAAAACAATTATTAGAAAAAATGATGACTCAGCACTTTTTAAGACATTATAATTTTATGCATTTGTCGAGTTTTGAAGAGGTCTGTGTTAAATAAGTGCTTAATAACCTCACAATATATTTTTCAGTGAGATAAATTAGAATAATTGAAAAATAAAGTAAAAAATTTGCTGAGTCAGCAGAAAAAAATGCTCAACCTACAAAATTTTGCAGATTGTTTAATTTACTTAAGAATGTCAAGTACTATCAGAATATGCAAAGAAAAAAACTTTATACCCTAAAACGACCCCTTCCTTCTTGGCCACCGGACTATAAACGGACATTTAATTTGTAAGGTTCTAAAGGGTTTTCTGCAAGAGCCACATGGCCCAAGTCCATAAACAACCGAGAACATAAAACCCAGTACCTCTAAGTCTAATAAGAGTTGGCACGACCATAAAATCAGGAGTATTTACTTGCTAGCGGTTAACAAAATACAGAGG